CCTCCTCCTCCTTCTTTTTCTCCTCCTCCTCCCCCTTCTCCTATCTCCTCCCCCACCTCCTCCTTCTTCTCCCCCTTCTTCTTCTTCTTGTCCTCCTCCTCCTTCTCTTCATCTTCCTCCCCCTCCTTCTCCTCCTCCTCCTCCTCCTCCTCCCTCTCCTCCCTCTCCTCCTTCTCCTTCTCCTCTTCTTCCTCCTCCTCCTCCTTTTCCTACTCTTCCTTCTCCTCCTTCTCCTTCTTCTCGCAAATCTTTCTGGGTTTTATCTTTTCTGCGTCTGTTTGGGTAAAACAGTTCACATATATATGAAAAGTTTCTCAGCATGTGACCCATTCCTCCCCCTCTAAAATTTAATAGTTCATCTAATGAATAAAAGAACAGTTTCAACTGGTCTAAAGAGTGCTTGACCATGAGAATCAGTAGAAATCTTTGACATAGATCCGTTCATTCCAATGCTATTTAAAAACAGTCGTAAATTATAACTCGCTCTCGTCCCACTAGATATAGTCATAATACCTAACTAAGATTTAACCAGCCCTGTTTACGTAATATTAAAAGGCGCTGCAAATCGCAAAATGTTAATAAAACCTTGGAGGTTATGTTTGCGGGCAGAAGTACACATGTAGCTTATTAGCTTTGAAATTTCAGCTGTTACTCTAAATTTTGGTGTAGAGTTCATGAATTTCAATATGTTAAAAGTTGTCAAAGTCGTTTCCTAAACATATGTTGCCTTAAACTTAAATTGTCAAGTTATTATCGAGGCTTCTTTACACTAGTGAATATTGAATCCGTTCAAACTGCTGGCGGTTTGCATCTGATTTAGTTTTTAATTTGATAAAGGGAGATAACTACTTATACTACAGAAAACGTTTTCGTTCATGTCAAGTGTTTACTTCGTCGGAATTAGACAATTACTCTAAGTATTCGTCATATTTAAAGCAATAACCATTGCCTTTCATGTCTAAGTTTCTTCAATTAAGATTCATTTACTAAAACGTTCATGAACAGTGCTATAAAATAATGCTGGATGCGCAATAAGGAAGAGTTGTTACCTACTTTTCTGTACTATTTACAAAAAAGGATGATAAATGGAGAAAACTGTATAGTGAGAAAATCGCATTTCATAGAAGTAATCTATTCATTCCCTAAAGGCTGCATAAACGCTTTTAAATTCGAGTTGAAATTGTGATTTGTACTCTAAATCTTAGATATCAAGCTTGTCGCCGTTAAAAATTAGTGTCAAATGGGAAGTTGTGTGTAAAGCGTTTGAACAAAAACAACAAAACAAACGTCCGTGGAGCATGTGTTTCGTGTGCGTCAACAAAAACACCCACTTTGTGTAACGAAGATTTTACGCATCGGTCCCGTCTTTGTGGATGTAACAAGTGTGTCACACAATGTACGTCACTAACACCCGAGTTCATGTCACATACGTTGGTTGACTTATTGTTTTGCCCTTTCCAGGGTGGCTTCCTATCGCCCTTTAGGGCGTGACGTTCAGTCTTGTCACGCAACAACATCAAGATGCCTTTGAGTAAGCATCACAAAATGTACACTTGTTATCAGAACTTGTAGCGAACAGCATGTCAATCATTTATTAATTTCCACCCTATGTTAATGTTCATTTATTTTTCTTTTCGCATTTGCCGTTGTAAGACAGAGTTTTCGAAGCAAACGTTTCGCCAGTTCTCACAGGTCATGTACAGTATAGCTAGGTTATTGTGCGGTCGGGTTTTCTATCAATCGCGTGAAAATATCTATTTACTCACTTGTGATAACAACTGGGTAGTCTTGGCTTTTTCCTTATCTCCTATGTTTAATTGAGCCGGTAGTTTTTAGTATCAGCGGTGCCGTTCATGTCGTGCGACCATGTCATGACAGTCTTTTTTTCTTGTTAGTGACTTCCCTTTTCTCGAGCTATATATGTTTGAGATAGTAGCGTGAATCTTCACATTTAGCTTCAGACTTAAGGTAATATCGACAGCAGTGACAAGAAAAGGAAACGGTTTATGGAGTAGAAGAGAAGGGTTATTTTTAGCATTGAGGTGTTTTACTGTTTATCCAGTTTCAAGTGCAAGTTACGTTTGTAAATCTGATTAATTTTTATATGAGTGAGCTCGTTTTATGGACAGCGTGATGTAAAAGATCGTTCTCAACTTAATGAAGACTGAGTCATTCAATCATTCAGAAAACGACATTAACTGTTTGACGTTACCGCAAAATCAGACCTCTCTTTAAATTTTGTTTTTCATTTTTCTTTCAGGTGAAAACAAAGTCGTCGTGGTATTAACGATAGCGAGGCTGTTAGCCTTTTAGTTAAAGTATATATTGAAGAAGCATTGCTTTCTAGTTTTATTGATTAGAAATGTTTTTAATTTTGAACAGTGAACAGGCCCTTTTCTAAAATTGCGACTGAAGCCCAAAAGTTATAATCAGAAAACACATTCTCACCGCAACAATAATGCCCACCATAATAGATTTTACAATTTTCATTTACGTACAATTCCAATTATTGAGAAAGTGTCAATATGGCGTTTTCCGTATTAGAATGCGTTCGTATTGTTGGGGATGTGGTTTCTTCTTCAGGTCTATATATTCTCGACTTATTAAAGAGTTATCAAATGAAATGTGCAATATTACTGAATTCAGGGTGCTTACTTTTGGACTTAAATTCCAGAACAATAGTATTGATAGTTAGCCGCCAATTTTGAGAAGGTCTGTTCAGGTTTGGACACAGAACTATCCTTTTCTTTCTGACGTTATTCTGTGTAACCTACAAACATGGTTTTGATTGAGCCATATTGTTATTATAAAGATTCACAAGATTTTGTGGTCTTAGTATGTAAATAATAAAATAGCTTAAATTATCTCAATGGTGAGTAATGATATTTAACACAATTTCTTGATACTCTGTTCAAGAAACTTGCTTGTGCAGGTACCGTCAGAAATTTAAAGCGGTAAAAGAGAAAAATTTCCTTTTGTGTTTTTCGTTTTGTTATGTTAGTTACTGACAAAAAAACCGACCGAGTAATTCATACTAACCATAATCTAACAAGCGCATCAGTCAATTCAACTTCCTCTTGAGAAGGGTAAAAGGGATTAAGATTAGTTAGAAAGATTAAACGTGGCTGTTATCGTTTGACATCCTTTATTAATAAAGACTATTCTTGCCGCAATTCTGCGAACTTATGGACTATCTGAGTGATCCCACAAGTCCATTCGCACTAAACTAGTATTCAGTCCTCCTAGTTTCAGGAACCGGAAATTGGATAGAAAATATTTCATTGTTGATTTTAGAGAAATAGATTTTCACCAATTTCGTCAACGGAATCGGTGAACTCAAACATTGTACTTACTTTTGGGGTTTACGCCTTACTATTTCGGTTCGCCCAAATTCTTATCCGTAACTTTGATTCGTTGATAGGTAGGTGGCGTCAACTTATCCGTATTTCTCCATACCAATTTAGACTTATCTCGCCAGACCCTTTGTTGAAGGCATTAATAGGGTAGAATATAACAACTTCATTGGTTTACTCTCTATCAAGATACATGTACCGTTGGAGATTATTCTGTGTATTGTTACGCAACTACGGCAGCAGCCTTACTCTTCACTCAATGATAAACGGGTTTACGTGTTACAACTGTTCTCTTATTAGGGGGAATGAAGGGGGGGATGGTTTGTCAAGACTTGCATCGACATCTTTGAAAAATTTTCGCATCACGAAGTAGCATAACTAGCCCTGGGTAATTATCGGTTTCCTAATCTCATGGCCTCATTTTTATCCTGTGGCACTTTTTCTGATAAGGATAATGGGTCTCAATAAAGTGAAGAAACCCTTTTTTATGTCTTGTTTGGTTGGTTATGATTACATTTTAATTTATCTTTTTATCTCTTTCTGTTCATTTATTCATTACTACCTTATTTTGATCAGACTCCGCATTAGGGTTTAGTCCTGGCAGAAACCGCATATATGAGCGTTTTTGCGCAACAAGGGCATCTGGAAGCAAGAGCAGTTGGATTTACCGACAATTTTCACTACAAAATGTTTGGTAATTGACGAATGTGGCCACGTAAGAGGATGTTACCTAAGTGATCCTGCTCGTAGACAATTTTACACGAAACTTTTGTTAATGGTCTTCTTGACATGTGCGTAAATGTAGGTAATAGCATGATTTCCAATGCAAGTTGGTGTTAATAAGCACAAGTAAATTTTTCAAAGACAACAACATTGCAGGGCAAGTGTAATTTGTAGTCAGAAAAATTTACAAGTGCATGTTAACACCAAATTGCACGACAAATCATATTATTACTATTTAATAATATACATCACAGAAAATTAAAGTAGACGACATTTTGACAGCGCGCTTGCTATTGTTACAACTTTGCACTCGTATCACCACTAAAAATGTATTCGTTCTCAGCCAATACGAAGCGCGTGATTTTTTCATGTACGTTATTATCCCACATAAAGACAGTTTTTGGAGACAAATCAGATTCATGTGTCCTCAATATCCTTTAGTTACTGACGTCACTTCTTTTCACAGAAATTGACCTGAAAGCATTTTCACACGCACGCTAGTATTCAAAGAAACAAACTACCAAGTATGACATGACATTTTATTTTTAAGCAAAATCGTGGTGTCCTCTTCACTAATTTAAATATTACATTAGTCTCAAAATAATTAAGGGGAACTTTCAAAGGATAGGATAAACGTATCTTCTGTTATCAAGCCGATCGATCCATGTTTCGATTTACATTAACTCATCTCTTGCATTACTTATCTCATAAATCTTTTTCTTGAATATTTTACTCTTCATGCAGTTAGGTCCAAAGGCTTACTTTACAAAGGTGCACGGTCTAAGAGACGTAATGGACTCGAATAAGACTAACGAACTCTGTTTTCATTTCGTTCATCGTTTCTAGAGTCCTTCGAATCAAAATACGACACCTTCCTCGGCCTTCTGTCGTTTTATGGCTGCTTAGCAGGCTTATTCTGGCTACTTTTTGCATTTATTATCACTGTTAGTCCTTTTTTTTTCAATTCACTGTTAGTTCTCAACGGAGGACGGTACTCCTCCATTAGCCCCGTTTGAAGGCAGTTCAGACAACTGAAACTCGGTCCTCTGCTCATAGACGTTTCCATTTCTGGAGTTCTTTTCAACTGCCAGCTCAAACGGCGTTTTAGCTCTCATCGTGCCACTTGGCTCAAATTTTTCGTTGTCGTCCTCCTCATCGTCAACAAAGTGTGGTGGGTGGGATCTCCCATTCTCCTGGGAGCTGGAGCTATGCGCAGTGCCCGGCCGCATTTTCCCATCTTTATCCTTGTAATAAACGTCACCAGTACGGTACGATATTTTGCTGGCACCGCTGTTCCGTCTGTTGTACTTGTTTGAAAGAGAAGCATCTGTTTCTAGACCATATCTAAAGCAGACAATTAAGATCAAAAGGTAAATATCTACAAATGAATTTTCGGTTTTGTTCACATAAAAAACAACGGTCCACTCAGAAAGAGGTATTACAGAGTAAAGTTGGTACATGTACCTTCCAGAGGGTTTGGGTCTCTTTACCACCAAACATACCACAATGATAACCACTATTAGAAGAAGGAATGCTGCAACGATGACAGTCCACCACATAGTCTTAAAAAATCCCGCTGAGAAAAAAAAAATTGAACAAGAACAAATGTATGTAAATCCACAGATACTCTACTTTGTATGTACGGAAATCAAGATTACCACAAAGTTGACGAAAGTAGATGTTGGGCGACGTTTGAAGCAATGTTGAAAGATTTATTAAAACCAAGATGAAGTGGGATGATTATATTTGTTGAATTCATTAATTTTGGTTCCTCAAAAGATGCTTATTCTCTAGCCTTAGAAGACTGCATAACTATGCAAGAGGATGGAATTCTTCTATCTTTTCATTAATTTTGGGATGCTTATTATGGGTAAACAACTGACAGACAACTACAATAGTCTGTCCTGTACGTGTTTTTAAAGCCAATTTTTTACACCATCGCTTTTGTGATACGAGAACGTACCAGGAGTGTTAAGAAGGAACCAGATATTGTTACACGCGATAAAATACTCTCTGATCTTCAGTAATTATCGAAGTATCGATAGGTTTATAACCTTCTTATTGCTAAATTGGACCAGGAGATTACAAGCTCTTGATTGAACTCATGTAAGCTAAACCCTAAACCCTTGAATTCACAAAAGAGTTCAACTATTTTACCTTCACACTTTCTACCATCCCCATCGTAGCCATCATTGCATTTACAGTCAAAAGAACCTTCCGTGTTCACGCAGCTCGCATGTTGGCCACAATCATCGCGGTGAGCTGCGCACTCGTCAAAATCTTTAACAAGAAGTTAGATTTACATTTAGACATTACCACAACATTAAATCACATGTCTTCAGTTGTATACCAGTTAACAACCCTATGGAGGTATTCTTATGATTTTATCGACATGATTATCCCTCAACTTTTTATCCATATCAAATCAAAAGATCCTCATAACTTAAACAAAAATGCTGACATTTTGAAACTTAAGTTCCTCATACCACAAAAGATACCAAACTTTGCCTTCAAATGGCGCTCGTCAGGTGATTTATGAAGGTTTATTTATCCATTCCTAAAATTTTAATTCTTTAAGATATCCAAAATCAATCATCATGTTCAAAAACTTTTATTTTTACCTATAATTTCAGGATATTTGACTTTCAATGTGCCGAGATGTGAATTATTGAATCTTGATGCCAGGGCATCTTGTAAATCCTGCAAGGACCCAGAAAACTGTGGACTTGTGAAGATTAGGAAGTCAACGATGACGCTACCGTTCCTACAAAATGTAGATAGAAAAAAAGCGATTAGAAATGCGGCCTTTAGATGAATAGCAGTGAAAAGAGCTAAATAAGAAAAGGTACAACTGATTGAGTCAGCTTATGAATACATGGCCCTCATGTAAAACAGTTGCCTTCTTCACGATTTCATTATCATGAAGCAACTGGGATCGTCGCTGCTTTTATAGGAAAGATGCTTGTCCACTTTATGGGCTATCCCCAGCGGTATTCCCTGCCTAGTTTCCCTGACTGTTCTCTTGAGAAGGGGGAATATAACACAGGAGTTTAGCCTCATATTCGAGAAGACAACACAGTTACTAGGTTCTCACTCAAAGCTACTTTCCATCACGATGCAGGAGTCTAAGAAATGAGAAATTTTAACCCAAATTTTTGCCTATGATTGATACCTGAAGTTGTTGACTCTACAGCCGTAGTAATATTGGTTTACTGTTGATTTCCTAAATTCTTGATTCATCTGAAATAAAGAAAAGCAAATGTTTTCACAAGAGCAGGGCACTGTGAAATACTATTGCTCCTATAACATGAAGTATTTAATCTCCATGATGCCGATTCCATTTCCATTTCTGTCTCTTTCTTGAAGCTTCCCCAACATTCTACAAGGATAAAATCCTTACTTTAAATAAATCAGAGAGGCAACATGAAAGGGTTGCTTTCAATCGTCTAGAAAGACACATGGTCTGGAGACTTACCGTCGCTTCAAATTCTTCCTTGAAATCGAAGTAACCCCCTGATGCTTTGTTCTTGAGGGATAATCCAAATACCTTGTTTGAAATGGTCAGAGTGCCTCTAAAGGTCTTACAAGCTGCAAAATAGAAGGCGTGACCTGTGAGTCAAACCTTGATTGGTGCCAACAGTTGACGAAAGTTCATAAAGAATCCCAATTTATTCATCCTTGTAATCTTTGCATCCACTCCAGGCCTTATTTTGGTTTGATCGACTAAAATACACTTCCATGAGCCCAAGTTGGCAAAAAAGACATTTTGGTGCAGATATGTACATTCAGGCTTCATTTGTTAAAATGAGCCTACATTTTAAAATATGTCAAATACCAAAGTACAGCTTCGGGAAGAAATTGTGAAACTATAAGATGAGGCGTGACATTCAATATAACTGTTACTCACGTTTGCATGTCTCATTGAAACTAGCTTTAAAATGGCCGGGAACTTTGCATTCACACTCAAAACCCCCATGATAGTCTTGACACTGACTGTCCTTGCTACACACTCCAGAGCCGCACTCGTCGATATCTATGTAATAAAAGAAACACTTCTTAGCTAAGTTTAACAAGTACCGAGGAGCAAACGACGCCATTTAAACTTTATCTACTTAAAACACTTTGTTCAACACATCGTTAAGGTAGAGAGGTGGGCAGGCAAAAGACAGCAAATAGGTTCCCTGTTGAAAGGCAAAATCACATTAAAATAAGGAGGAAAATCGAAAATGCTCTCATTCTGGCGAAGACCAATTCTGCACATAAAAAACGTTTTGACCTTCGCACAGTTACTTAACGAACAGGTTAATTGGACAGCTTGACTTAAGAATTCTCAAAATCAACGACAAATTTACCTTTGCATTCTGTGCTATCTCCTTCCCTGACCAATCCTCTTTTACACGGGGGTAACGTTGGCGGTGTTGGGGTACGCGGGGGTAGATTTTCCCTAAAGACGAAGCTGACCAAAGTGAAGAGGGTTTCATTACCAACTTTCTCTCCCCTGTAATAAATCATATCATCCAGAGTATAATTCTTGAGTATGGCCTGCTGTTCTGCCGTCCAGTTGAAGATGAAGGTAAGATTCTGAATAGGAATATTAATAAGTGAGTCGATGAGATCAAAGACACTGTCGTTCCTCAGGGCTGAAAAATTATTTCCACTGGCGGTGATAAGGTCCATCAACGAAGATTTCATCAAAGCGGTCTTGGCAGAAATCAAGGGCTGGATAGACTGCTTTAAGACATCATGGAAATCTTTGACAGTCATATTTTCGATAGTTGGAGGTTGGATATCCAGGAGAATTGACAAGCGAGTAGGGGACATCTCTAGCGATAGAGCAGCTTTAGCGTAGGCTCCTTTTACTATTGGAAATACTATCAGTGACCACTGCGATGGAAGAGTTAAGTTGAACTCGTAGGAAGAAACCTTCAATTCATGAGGGAGATTATGGAGATCAAAATCAATTTGAGAATTGAGCTGTGTGAGCGATTTCCACAATAAATTCACGATGCTGCAGTTATCACACAACTTGGAGGAGTTGACGTGAAAGAGACTGGATGCTTTGCTGACTAGCTTAGCCCGGTAGTCGTTTAACAGCGTAGTATAAGAATTTGGTGAAAGGGCTAATAGCTGACTTGTTATTTCCCTGAATGATTTAAGACGCTTTAATTCGCCTGTGGATTTTGATACCAGGGTGGAGATATTGGACAGAGATGTTGCACCCAATACGGGCCAGTCGGTTAGCGAGGCATTCACTGCCCATGCAATCTTTGGCCATGGCAGCTCAAATTTATCTTCAAACATCGTTAACAAACTGACATCATCTTGTACATTAAAGTTTGATTTTGCAGCCAGTTCATCAACAGTTGTTATCGCAGCAGCAACAAGTGAAGCAACTTTGGGGCATGTCATGTCGTTATTATGTCCCAGAAGCGAGACTACGATGTCGTGAGGCCTTTTATTATAAATATTGTTCTCAGAGATTTGGCAATATTGCGAGACTTCGTTGAAAGTGTAGTTTCCAAGTGCTTCAATTCCAATGGAGCTGAAGTTGTAAAGTAGCAATAGTTCTGATTTTGTCAGGTTTATCTTGTTTTCAGTGAAATCCAATACAGTCATCTCTCCAAGAGGCTCCTTTGAAAGGCCAACAGACGTTATGATATGAAGCACTGACTCATTTTCCATGGCCATTTTACCATTTAAAAGCCTGATCACACTGTCGTCCCATTTTGATTCCAACTGTGCCAGAGTTAAGTTCTGGAGGCTCTCCACTGTTTCTTGTTGCAGCTTTGCGAAATTTGACAGACTAACATGAAGCTGCCGACGGCCACTTCGAATGACTTCTGCCCTCACAAAAGGAATCACCTCTTTCCATTCGGTTGGTGCGAGCTTATTTATATTTCCAGGCTGCAATTTCAGCGATGCTTCTAGTGTTTTTAATGATACGCTGAACTTTACCTCCAGATATTTGTACACCAGTGGAACCACTTCAAATGGAGACAGCTTCTCAAAATCCGCTCTGGCCATGTCTCCAAACCGAATGAGTTCGTCTGCGTTTGTGTTGAACAGGTCGTTAATAATGTCCAACGTGGGTCCCTTGCTTTGGCTTTCTCTCATACGAAAACCTGTACCTTCGTCCGCCTGAAGCTGTAAACAGTCTTGAAATACCTGCAAGAGCGTTTTGGACCGAAACACATCAAAGCTAAAACCAGTGACGTTTCTAAATGTTTCTTGATTTAGAACATAAAGCGCTGTCCAGTCTTCCATTTTCAAACCGAAAGCCCACACGTTTTTCCGCCATGGAAGTCTTGTCACCATTTCAACAAGATTCACGAATGAAACAGTCGAGTTTTCAATAATAATGAAAGCTGTTTGCAAGTAAGACATGTTCCTGTTTCTTCCATTCACATAAAATCTTGTTGTTCCACACAAAGCTGGATATTCTCTTATTCCAACCAGCTCTTTTGTAATGTTGTAGAGTGTTTTATCTTTAGCAGAAGAGGTATTAAACTGACAAACACGAGGTAGGTCGCTAAACTGCAGACCTTCGAGGATGAATAGTTGATCAGGTTTGAGATCGTAAACGAGGTTTAGTTCTACATCTGTGAAGCCACCTCCAGATAACAACAAGGTATGAACCGACGTGTTCAAATAATCAGCATCTGAGATAGAATTATTGGCTAAATGCCAGCTTATGGGATCGCTCTCAAACCTCGCTTTCTTCTCAGTAACCTCTTGGATCCGAGTTCCGATAATCCTCTTCAGCTGAGAAATGGTAAGCTCATTAGAGTTGTATCCTATCAACTGAAACAGGTTTGCGACTGACATTTGCAACTTTGTGGCCTCGATTTTAACTACAGCGTCAATTATGACAGGAATCGTGTCATTCCATTCTTGTCTCGGTAAGTAGTGAAGATCTTCTTCTGTCGTCTGCAGAGCCTTGATAACTTCACTTGAATTCAGCTTGAAGTAGACAACTGTTGCATTGAAAAAGCTTTTGAACAGAAAAGGGGACGAAACTTTCACCAAAGAACCATCAGCCATCCCTGTTAACGTAGCCACCTCGTTCAATGTTAGGTTGAATGTCTCCATCAGCCTCTTTGCAATGAATACACGATAGCTCTCCGTCGAGTTGTCAAGGGTTCCATTTTCCCTTAGGGAGAATACAAGTTTGACTAACTCGCTCACAGAATCGTTTCGCAAACTTTTTTCTTCATATCCTGAGATTTCAGCAAGTTGTGGGAGTGTTACAGCATCTAGAAACTCCCAGTCCGATAAAGAAGCATCTACCGACCAGCGGACGGCGTGCCAAGATAGATTGGCAACTTCTGTGAGAATTCTTAGCACAGTCGTCTGTTCGGAGGTGATCACTGGGTTGGTTTGAAACGAGGAAATCGAATTCCCTTTTATTTTGATCAACACTGGACATGGAGGTGCACGAGAAACTGATCCAAAAACATTTACAGAAGCATCAGGCAACGTTTTTTTCAGAAGGTCCTGAATAGGAATCATGCACATGTGATAAATCTGTTTCAGAGTCGATCGGTCTAAAGTCTTGATTTGCTCTACACTCATGTTGTACAAAATACCGAATTGTTGAGGAGAAAGTTTAATTTCCTCATGTTTTAGGGCTTCTGACAAAGTACTCTCAGGATATAAAGCCTCTGAGATATCTGAAGAATTGAAAATCGTGGATGTCGTGTTTCCGTCAAGAATCGCCTTCTTTGGAGGGAGAGGAAAAACCAGTTTCTCAAAAGCGCCAAGGGTAAGTTTTAGTAATTCCTGTGTCTCTACTTTCATCAGTCGTGCTAAGGCATCCACGGATGAGAGTTGGAGTTTGTTGCTAAATGCCAAAGAACTCTCTGAAACCATTGCATTTACGACAGTCTCCCAGTCTCCAGGATCATAAGAGTGAGAGAGATTTCTTATTGGAATTTTTAACCTTAACGCCACATTGTTGACAGTAAATAAGAATTTTTCACCCGTATATTTCAAGAGTTCCTGTTGGAAATCTGCTGCGTTTAATGTTAGGGCGACGCTGTCATTACTCAAAGAATCATTAACACTTCCAAATGGAATCTCGTATGTCCATTGATAGCTTAAGTCTTTCAAATCAGCGGCTGTAAATGATAATGGCTGGTAAAAATCGGTTTTTGCCAATCGACTCAAAATATTAGTCATATTTTCAGAATATGCTTTTTCCAAAGACCAATAAGACAAGATTCTCACGTGCTCAGTGGTTACTTTCAGATCTTTTTCGTTTGCTCCGAAATATTTTGGAAGCAGGCTTTTTAAAGGCATGTAAAGGAACGGTAGAGTAAACTGCCCAACCACCGCAGGAACCAGAGTAAAGAGTAAGAGGAAGTCCTGGGACCAGCTGAACCCTTGGGTCCCTCTCGACATCTTGTTAACTTCTTGACCAGAGAAGCACGCGTTCTAAACCATTCAGAGGGTCATCTGTAAGGAAAGGGCAGAGTTTGATTTTTTTAGCTTAAAATGCTCGGAGAAAACTGCACTCGCTTACAGATGCAGTTCGTTGCATGGAGGTAATCTCTCTTCCAAAAAATTACTCTTGCATTATCACCCATCCGTGCATTGCTACCCATCTCGTACAATCCTTCCTTTGGGCATGCCCTGCGCCACAATTGGTATCAAACAATAGAATAAATATATTTTAAAGCCTTCTATCTTCACCTGCATTCGCAATTATTTTGAAAATAACGTATTGATCGTTTGGGAAACAAATCAATCAATAAATAAAATTATTCTTACAATGGTACAATGATTGAGGTTTGAAGGAACATCCACATGCGTGGATGAATCCACTGCGTAACTCAAACATGTAACGGCGACATGTAAATTCGGTGTAATTTGATAACCACGAGCTTGAATAACTTGCCTGAATAAATTCATCGAGCAAATTTGGAGGCCTCGACTTAAACCTTTCGGCGGGAAAAGTGTTTCAGTTACAACTCCAAAGTTTACCTCGCATACATTACAATGAATTCCTTCATTATAAACAAACAGCCTTCCCATTATCCCACATAGTGGTGGCAAGTACAGCTTACCTTGAACTTGGAAAAATAGCTACGATTCCGTTGAATCGCCCTGAATGATTGGCTCAAAGGCTGTAACACGCGGATCGATTTGCATACTTTGCGGTTATCTTTAAATATTTGGAAGCAGACTTCAATGTTTACCCTATTTTCAATTCAGTTTTGGTGTTATCACCGTGCAGGTGGATAAACTCCTTGTATGTGGTGAGGATATTTGGTTCCCGGGAGATATAGCTGTATCGGTAGATAATCGATATGCTTGCAGATAGGTCATCTCAAAATGTAAACAACTTTCTCAGAGAAAGGTTATTGCGAAATCCAAAATCGATTCTTCATGTAAATAAGTAGTTGAGAAGAAAAAACTGTTTTTACGCCGATTCAGTTCAAAAGAGCTTTTCAGTGCTTTCAAAACCTGAGAACAGTTAATAAAAAATTCAGTACCGAGAACATTGTCAATGAAACAGGTTAAGCAATATACGAAAATTCCTTTCCAGGTGTAAGCTTAAGTAATAGATAACCATATTGTCGCAGGAAACACGTATGGGAATGACTTGAGATGGAAAATTCATCCAAAACATCTATTAAGTTACTTTAATTGTTAAAACGGGTATTACATCCATATCTGTAACATTAATCTCCGTGTTAAAAAACCTTCACTTTTTATCAAACGAAAGGAATTGGAGCACTGTTCAAGTCCACATCCGTAAACAGAATAAAAACACAAAACTGCAATAAATATCCGAAGTTTCTTTTCTTGTTTGTTTTTGTTTTCTCTGGGTTAAAATTGCGCAAAGACGCAATAAAAAAATAGTAAATACGATGGAGCAGGTGAATAACTGTTTCCTCAATAAAGACTGGAACTCAAGCTTTCCTTCTTTAACTTTAATTAGAAAAACGGTTCCTCGTGATGAAACACCCACTTCCAAATCAATATAGCCTGAAGTAGACGACTGCTGGCAATTTAGCAATTTGGCAAGTATCTCTTACTTTGGATGAAAACCAAATTCGCCTTAGTGCTTTTAAGAGGAATTGTACCGTGCTAGATAGTAAACTCGGAAATGATGCACAGAATAATTTATTGATCGAAAGAAATTAAGATGTCGCCCAGCTGAAGGTATGGCTTATACTCAGGCAAATTATCTGAGTCAAAAGAAAACTTTCATCAATGTTGACGCGCGACGCTACTATGATAAATTATGTATCGTAACATGTTGATATAATCACAAAGCCAAATTTCTACAATTCAGCCTTATTTTAATAACACGAAAGCTTAAGTAGAAACTTCCGTTGAAAATTGTACAGAGAAAATAACATCTTCTTTGGTTTCCATTCAATTTTTTTTATACCTCCAATAAGTCTCGCCCTTCTAATGGTGGTCCGTTATTTTCGCTGCATGATGTACAGAGCTAGTTCTACCATTCAACGTAACAGCGTGAGTGTGGGTTCGTAAATTACTATTGCTTTGGAAACCGATAATATTTACAAAACTATGCATTAGTCGAAGATCAAAAGTTAGTTGCTTGTACCCATAAGAAAACAGGGAGTTGAGTTATGACTATACCGTCCGACGTCAACAATTCTAACTCGAACTGGAACTTAATTTGTATAAATAAGCAATTGGAGCCGATTAGTAGCACAAATTTGTGCTCTTATTCCCCGCGGCTACCAAAATGCTACGTGGAGTATGAAAGGATGAAAATTATCTTGACTTATCGAAACGGGAGCTTCCTAACATACATGAAAATTTACATCATTCTCTTCATAACAAAATCAAGCAAGCTAAGACAAACAATATTTTTGAGGTAGCTCAGCTATCATCTGACATAAAAACCACACGATGTTTATGGAACTTGCCCATTTACAGTTAAGAAATAAAGAGAGAGAGAGAGAGTATTCAGAGACTAGCCGGTTCATTCAGTGTTGCGGTCCAATTCATTTGGAAACCGAATTACCTCTTTCTTAGTCGGTTTTTTAAAGATTTTTCCAACACCTGTGATGTAGAACGTGCTGTTTGTAAAAGAAAAAGCCCTCCGTTCCAATATTTCCTCATCAAATACGTATACAACTCTGTAAACTTACTCTGAACGATTCAACATGGTTGTTAGCTTATACGCAAGTTAAATCTACCATGGAGTTCGATTTCTAGAACATGTAGGCTGCGCTCTATGTACAATCAAATTATGCTAAGAAAGTTGCGCACACACCTGCAAAAAACCTGGTTTCAATAACAACAAACCTTGGCCTCGTTTGGTTCACCAACGGAAACCATGTAAAGTATTTGCAGACTTCTTTATGGCCTCCTTCGTCTTCTTTTGGGTCAGTTTCTGACTTAACAATCACGAATCGTTAAAACAAAACTCGACGGATGAAATCTCCTTCGTGTTTCGTGTTCTTATGTTACGATGAAGTAGTTGGCAAGTTATGGGAAACTCAAACCCTTTAGCGATGCTAAAATTTGCATACTCTCACACACCTGGAAACTTCTGTTATCTTCTGAGTGACATGCTATTCGCCACATGGGGTTGCCAGCTCCCGGCAGTCAACCTTTATAAACCGATTTACATAATTTTCTCACAACAATTTCCGTGATTTTCTTATAACGGCGTTGGGAGAATTTGTGGAGCCATCTATTACGATCTCTAAAGCTTTCGCGATGGCGCGTTCTACTCTCATAAGTTGCATTTAAGACCTTAGTAAGATTCATGATAGGAAAAGTTGCGTGCACATTGTCGTTGGCTCAAGAGCCTTAATCTAGCACAAGAACTGAGATATAAAAGAGAATTTCGGAATAAGACTGGAACATATTTACAAACGCATCATCATAACAACCTCAAAAGACAATTGCCTCAGAGTTGACTCATAATTAAGCCTCAGCGAACTTCATTAATATTTAAAATAGTTCACTCGGAAACCCACACGAAACAAAGAGAAGTATCTTCAACAATCTTCGAAATCGTTTGAACGTAGTAATTACCAACAGCCATGCTTTACTAGGGCTTGACTCTTACTTTCCAATGATAGATAGACTTTAAACGCAGAAGGTTATAATTAAAATATTTATCACGGTTCATTTCCCTATCGCCGTCTCGTTGTTTTCGTTTTCTTGATCTCAAACACCTGCAATTGATGGCACGATAATAGCAATGACGTCACACTTTCTAGGAGACTTCACACCCCATTCTTAAAAATGTTATCCCTCCCACTTGAAAAGCTAATTTTAATAACAACAGGAGTTTGGCTTAACAATAAATGTTTCTGTAAAAGTCCGTTTAAGACTTGAAAATTCATCACCGTTGCCAAACGAGCGGGCACTCATTTCATGATAGTAATTAGATGAGAGACAAAACACTTTGGGTGATTTCCCACTAAAAAATTCATTTTTCTGTTCGTAATCAATAACTGGAGTAAATTTCAAAGAGCCTTGTCAAATCAATAAGATAATTTGCGCTTCCATTAGTCAATAAACTTATTGCCCACGGTCTCTGGTCGGGAATTGACCCCACGTTACCAGACATTGGAGGGGAAAAGCAAAGGAACTGAAAAGACACACATTAAACGACTTTAAATCGGCAGAGCACACTAATTCTAAACAACGGAACACAAAACTGAATTTGGGCAGAGTTTTTTATTATTATTATTATTTAAACTCGCTCGTAAAATGATCGTTCATTCCCATGCTTATTATTATATTTTGTCTATTTCGTAACACAGCTACATTTTTACGGTGCCTTAGTGGGCTGCCTATGCAAAAACTGAACCGCTTTGCAGCTAATAAAAAAAGCAGTACAACGTATTTTCTTTCTATGTATCTATGGCTTGTTAGGAGAAGATTCATAAAGTTTGTAAATTACAAGCCTACGGTCGGCCAACGATAACAGACTCAGTTGCCATTGTAAGCTTGCCTGCTTAAATAACTTTAAAATTTTTCGCCTGAGGGCAGAAGAAATTTTTCCAGACACAACTAAGGAGCGCACTGAGGACTCAATTGAGATAGCATTACCCCTGCTCGAACTCAGTTTTTCGGAGCACTTTCCTGGTGTGCAGTAAGATCCTGTATCAATTTCAATTCAAATGGGTTGGGAATGAAATAAAAAATAGGGCTGGGTGACAGGTGGATTCAGTCCTACAGGAGAGTTTCGTTTTTAAATCATTTGGTTTTATCGTCGTACAATCCAGTTTGTACCAAAGTCTACGAGAGTTTCATGGAACGTCTGCAATATAGAATATACACACCGTTGAAAAGAAAAGAGTACTTTTTAACAATTATCATCAACTAGAAAGTTCATGTGAAAGATAATAGCATATACTTTATTTACCATCAAGTTATGTCATGGCAGCTAATGTAAATTCTTCGAGTCACTACTTTGTGATCCGCTTTGTATCTGATTGGTTGGGTGATCGATTGGGTGATTGGTTTTTTCTGAACCAATCACAGGGCGAAGTAAACAAAACAAAAGCAATCCTGAATAAAGGGGGTAAGTTTCTAGAGCAACTTTGGTGCTGCGTCGGTGGAAGGGTATAACAGGGTAATTTAGTATTATCAACTGAGTTGATAAAGTAAATTGGCCACCGTGAAGAGGTTTAATGCTGACATTTCGAGCGTTAGCGCCTCGTCAGAGCGAATGCAGTTGGTCGACTTGACGAGTCACCAAGGTGCTGCATTCGCTCTGACGTAGGGCTAACGCTCGAAACGTCAGTTTTGAAACTCTTTAAGGTGGCCAATTTACGTTATCAACTCAGTTGATAATACCAAATTACGATGCAATAATGGATTAGTTTTGAGACAATATTGAGAATTGCTAAAAAAGGAAAATGTCAACGAAGCTGAGTCAAAAATTACATCATAATGTAGTCCTTTCATATGAAGCACGCGTCACATTCATGTTTCATCAAACTTGAATCGGAATAAGCCTACTATGGTAAGTAAAAATCAGCCAACCTGTTGTGTTCCATCCATAACTGTTGCCTCCTGTAAATTTCATCATGATCAATTCGAGAAGGATCACCAAAGTAAGCGAGCTGTTAGAAGGAAAAACAAGCTTGGAATTATGTTAAAAATTAATGAAGTTGTGACTGTTATTTTGCAAACGTTGGCTGAGAAACATACTCCTTTGCAACATGTGCACGTGCATTATCTGAAAAAACAGGAAGGTGGTCACAGCATCACATTGATAACAATTCGTTTGTCACTTCAATATAACAGAATAGAATTGGACGACTATGAAGGTGTTACCTTCCAAGCAAATCTCTGCGTTCCTTTCTGCCTTTGACCCAGACCCCCGCCTAATCTACGTGGTAGCCAGGATTCTATCACACCCGCCCGAACACGATCAACCAGAATCTGAAAAAAAAAAACAAACAAAAATGAGCGTTTCTTTTCTTTACTTTTTTGTAGTCTATCTTCCCGTATTAGTGGTTTAATTCGATGTTTGGTAGGATTTAAACAGCATCTCATGAGATTTTATCGTTATGCTTCAGTCCTTCACTGTCCAAAGAGCTTTGTCCTTCTCACTGACTTACTGATCATGAATTACAGAAGGAAGACCACCTTACCAACCGACCAACAGAATGAGAATTTTAAAGCTGTTCCAAAGTGTGAGTATTTCTTTGGCGCTCAATTCTCGTCTTCTAATCCATAACTTTGGCTAATGCTTATACCTCAGTTTTATATATCACTCTCAAAATTTCGCGACTCCAAAACATAACGAACGAACATGATGAGAAAACAATCAAGAAAATGTTTTGTGGATGCAAGGCAAGGGTACACTAAGATGTAACTTTCTGTGAAACTTGAGTGCACTTCACGGAGTCAGGATAAAGTCGTAAATGATAACGGTTGCCATTAACTTTTTCAGAGGTTAGATTGGTAGACAGCGACGCGGATGTACAGAAACAGCGACGTAAAGAAGAAACAGCATTTTTGCTCCCCGTTGATAATACAATCCCGTTGTAGAAAGTTTCGAGTTTTTCTAGTGTACTTTTTTCTTCACCTTTCTTCCATCAATCACAAGTGGTTTATCTTTGGTCTCTCCCAAGGCTCTCTTTGCTTCGCTTTCATCTGAAAACTTAGAGACAAAGACCTTGTGTTTTTACATCCTTCACGAGCCGAAGCCTTTTAATGGATCCATATCTGAATAATGACAGAAAAAGAAAAAAAAACGCAACTTCACCTAACAATTATTTTTGAATTAAAAGAAGTTAGGGAGGAGATGGTTGAAAGAAATTGCATAATCCAAGCAAAATTATCTCTTTAAATTTGACAATTTGACAATAAGGCAATTCTTCTATTCATATTATTCCATAACATAGTATTACACGTTCATTACATCACTGTCATTTTTTGCCATGTAATCTTTAAAACTGAGAGTAACTGGTAATAGATTCTCATGTTTTTACGACAAAAAGGATCTGGTTATGCAGAACTTTGAAAACAGTTCACTAGAATTCATAAAGGAATACATGTACAAATATTATCTTTAATCTGTGGGAATGGAAAAATCTATTTAATGTAACCAAATATTGCTTCAATAGACAGAAATACATTTCCACTGACTTTTGACTTTGAAGGTCTCTTAGATGTGAAAATGACAATAAACTGAACACTCTTCCTGCCGCACACCACTGGAAAAATTATTATAGAAGGGTGAACATTCATACCTGCCAAAAATCTCAAATAATTTCTCCTCTGTTGTGTTATAGTCCTGTGATGAAGATAGAAAAATCTCAAGAAAACAAAGAATATAATAATATTGTAATAATAATGCAACATGGACTACAAACCTTGTTAACTAAGTAAATGTGTAAATTTATACTACACTATCCAGTAAGTGATCAGGGACAAATCTTGGAATTTTAATGAAGGGGGGAGGTTTAAATTTTGATTCAAAAACCACAGAATTTTTTTGCTGCAAATTACTTCTAACCCAACCCATGCTTGTCCCCTTGCCTTCGTATAAACCTCACATGGCATTATACAAAAATTAGCCATTTGAGAAGCTACTTCTAAAGGTCTGATGGGAAAGAGAAGAGGGGGGGAATTGGACCCCTGTACTCTCTCTCCAGATGTCACTGGTCATAAACTGTTAGCCCTGGGTTAACACTGTTTGATCGATCAATAACTTGACTTCACACCAAAATTTGAGATTTTCCAAATGGAACCAAATGGAACCCAGTGATTTTGTGGTCATCATTCCTGTAGCTGAGGACAACACAGTATGCTTAATGCTTGTTAATGTCTTGGTTGACTTTGAACATTAATTGTCAGACTGCACTGGCCAAAGCTAACAACAACCACTCTTCAGTTGTAACAGTGCAGTTATCCTCCTTCATGTTGGACAGCAATGCACAGCTAACAGGTTTTATCAAATTTTTGAAATCCTGCACTCCCCATAAGATTTCTACTAATGGGCCTTGATAATGACCCTAAATCATGAGGCAAACAATCAAACATTCATTTATTGTCACAATCATGATAAACAAACACATCTTTTAAAAAAATTTTCCACATTTAGCTTGGAAGCAATCCTAGCTTTGAAATTGGTCACATACCAGTCTTGCAACAAAGATACTCTTAAATGGATCCCCCTGAATTTTTTCATCTTTCTTTATATCATCTAAAACAAAGAAAGCACATATTTAAGTACATGTAGTCTACCAAGTTATTTCAGCATAAAGAAAAGGTCACTGCTGACTAGAAGCAGTCATGAAAGGTAAATGGCGATGAGATAATGAACTCTCATACATAGACATGTACAAATCTGATGGGCACATTTCCTTTGCCACAGAACACGACAAAAGTTGACATATTTGTTATTCATAAAAGTACTTGGTCCCGAAACATGATTTCAGGAATGATAGCTGCCATTTATTACAGGACTGTTTTCTGGCATGAGGCGACCCCACCCTCCCACCAATAAAGCTATAAAAAAGATCCATTCATGAAAAATGAGACTTGTATTGAACTTGTTAAATGAAGCAAAACATTTGGCTCAAATATAAACTCCAAAGCTTCTTTCAATTCCAAACAAAGGGGTAAAAAATTTGTGAAAACAAAAGCTAAGAAAAGTAAAAATAACTCCATAACACAAACAAAAAAGGGCTAAAACATGCCCACATCAATTTTCAATGTCAAGTTTGGAATTCTTTGATGTGATTGTCTAATTTATGAAATCATGCATGCTGCACCTAAATATGGAAATAATACAAAGGGGGGAGAGGAAGAGTTAAATTGTAATTTGAAATTCCACAATGAAGGGATTTTATATAAAGGCTCTGCCTTATTCCACAATTTTTCATGTATCTTCAATAAAGAGGTATGAAATGATTTTATAATGTAGCTACATCACTTTGATTAATGTAGGTTACTCCTTGCATCCAGTCATGTATGGTGACAATAGGCCATTTTGCAGTTGTGTACTTAGTTGCCAAGCCTATGACATGGAGTGAGGCTGAAGGTGACCATATTGAGATAGAGACCAGACAAAGTAACTTGCATTTGAAAAGCAGCAACATTTGTATCCTAACAAGGTCAACTTCAGTCTTACTCCTGTTCAAAGGCTTGGCAACCAAGCACAGCAACCGAGCATGAGGAATTGAACCTCAGACTTGTGATGCTCTACCACTAAGCCACAAAGACTCTACTGTAAGCAAGGTACTTAGAATTTTTTCTTTGTCTCATGCTCATGAAAAGACGAAAAATATCTTTCTCTAGTTCATTATCGAGCTCAAAATTTACCATCTCTCTTATTTTATTAACAAACATGACACTATTGACATCGTTGATTGTAGCAGTACACGGGACGCATGTCATATGAACTTTGTAATAGACCTCGCTCACCGTAAAGTTACTGTGGCTCAGTGGTAGAGCATCGGAGCGTGAAGGAATCCAAAGGTCTGAGGCCCAATTCCTCATGGGAGTCAGGGTTTTTTCTTTGTCCCATGCTCGTGACAAGACGAAAAACATCTTTTTCAAAGCTACTTTTACTTACATCTAAATTTTCTATCCAAGCTGCTATTATTTACTTTCTTTTTCTTGAGAAGTTGTGGTTTCTTCTGGACAAACACTCCCTAGAATAAGAAAATGAGGCAAAAGAAGACAATAAAATTCACAACATCGAAAAACTACTACTCTTTACCAACAAGACATGTCTGGAACAGGGAACTTTTGTCACACCTGAGCATTCCTAGTGTAATTGGAAGGAGAAGTTGCCTCAGATCTCTCATGGGTAGAATTTGTATCACGGTCGTTTCCTTCAAACTGAGATATCCTGCAGACATATCAAGAATAATTTTTTTGTGAATTCGAAGACAACAAGCACGAATAAATTTTCATATTAATGTTACATTAAAATTTCAAACAGACTGAAAATCTCTAATGACAAACCATGGTCCAACGCTTCTACGCATCACCTCAAGCTTTCCAGAATCCATCATTCTGTATCTTTTCTTTTTGTTCTAAAAGTCTTTATCGAAAGTGTCCACATCTGCCGCCATCTTGTATTGTACTAGATACCAGTCTCCAACAGAGTATCAGGTAAATTTCATGTCTCGCTACATACCGTATTTATTCGACTAAACGCCGCCCTCGAATAAACAGCGCACTTTAGAGGAGAAATATTAATAAACGCCGCCCTGAAATAAACGCCGCATCATGAGGCGGCGTTTATTCGAATAATAGGTTCAAAAAGCACACGACGATCAATACTTTGATCACAGTTGGAAATTTTGTGTGAACCAGACACAAATCCTTTTGAATGTACCAGTTCTGATGTCGAGGAAGCATATCCGACATTGACTATTTACGTTATGTATGCAGTAATATATTAACATGCAAATCGTGAAATTGAAAACGCTATATATAACGCCCTCGTATAAACGCCGCCCTCGAATAAAAATTCACGAAAAATTTTATAAACGCCAAGGCGTTTAATCGAATGAATTCGGTATGCAATAAAGCAGAGAGGGTCATACAATAATGCGTAAATATGAACACCACTGACGTAGTTCTCTCCATCCGTACTGAACGTCCGAAAACGTAAATCATACAATGACCTGGATCTAGATTTTGTTTTTTTTTTTTGTCTATTGCGCGTCACGCCATGGTCGCGCATGGTCGCGCGTGCTCGCGCGTGGGTGAAAAGACTCGGTTCCCGGTGACCCTTACTTAAAATGACATTGAACAAAAGGAAAAACTCTATAATACCCGTAATTAATTTTTCATTTAGAGCCAAAACTATGTACTCAGTGAACCGAGAAGACATTTTGAATATGTCGAACAAGGAACTAGAAATGTCGATTTCAAGTGGTGAAATTAATGTTAGCGCTCATTCCGGAATGGATTGATTATGACAAAAGCAAGCGAAAGAAATATTTCGCCGAGTTGATGTCGTGACAAATGATCTCATCGAAGAGAATGAAGGTAGGTAGTTAGGTAGATAGGTAAGACTTTATTTAATCAGGGTAACATTTGACAGTAATAATACTGATAATCTAATGGCCCTCAAAAAAAAAACTGATAGCAATAGTTGTAACAATATTAATAGTAATTAAAATAGTATATAAGCCTTTGCACATCGCAAAATAAGATTATAAAATGTGGTTATATACAGATTTTAAAATTTACATGAATAATTGCGTAAGAATTTGATTATTTAATATTACTTTAAAAACGGGACGCTTAAAGTTTTTAACAATAGTACTACGTGTGAGGCCCACACTTAGTTTGTTCCATTCCTTTGTCGCTCTCACAGCAAGAGTTCGACCACCTTCCTTACTTCTCTTATATCGAGGGCAACTTAAGTTAAGCCGGATTACAGAAACGGGTTGATCTGTTATGTGTGTCAGAGTTCCTGATAAGTAAATCATTTATATATTCAGGGGTTTTGCCATGTAGCCTTTTGTAGGTTAAAGTGCATCGATTTACTTATGATTCAGCATAAAAGGGAATCCACTTTAGGGAGTTAAATAAGGCGACAGAAGGTGTTGTTCTTTTGGCATCAAGAATTATTCTAGCCACACGTTTTTGAAGACGCAGGACTTTCAAAAGATTTTCTTGACTGCAAGAAGTCCAAATCATACTGCCGTAAGGCATTATAGGTTTAATGATCGTAGAGTAGTATATGTCTCGTTGACTGCTCTTCTTCTTGCAATTCGAATGTCAGCTACTTTCTTCCACTGGTGTTTGCTAAGGTCATATCTGTCAACGTCGCTCAGGTACTTTTTACGCATACTTACACAAACAAGGCCGCCAATAAAATAGATGGAATGCTCACTGGCTACAATACCAAAGTCTCGCCTCACAAAGTGATGAAAAAGATCAAGAGATAAGATTTTTTGCCATGATTGTGATTCTGGTTTATACTTAGAGATGAAAGTACTGTGAGCTCTGTCACATAGATCATTTTCCAAAGATCTTATGTGACTATCTATACAAGATGTGCATACATCAGACAGCAAAGCGTGCGATTTGGCCTTTTCAACATATATTTTCAGCAAATATGTGTCTTCTCCAATATTTGGTAACCGCGTCCAACTATTGGTGTATGGATTGTAGCTTACTATAACTGATTTTGGCCTTGCAGTACTGTACAAATCCCCTTTGCAAGGAAATAAATGCTGTAACTCGCCATATTCAGATGGTATCTTACGTAACGTACCCCATCTTGACACGTTTACATGGCAAATTGTCACCCCGGCTGACAGGGTTATCCTACCTGGCAGACCGGGCAACCCGCCTAGGCGGGTCACCCCACCTATCATGTAAACGTGATCAAAATAAAATTAGAAATTATAGGGACGGGCGGGTTACCTCACCTACCTGAGGTCCCCACCTCCATGTAAACAGGCCCTAAGACTTGTGTATGTCCGTGGGTTATTGAGCTCTTCCCTGAATGGCTCTACTAACTGCACGGGCTTTTAATTTAGCGTGCACAATTTTCTAATTAGCACTATTCATTAGAAGTACATTTTTTCATGGTAAACTCAAACAATGGAATTAAAACAGGAGCAAGTGTTGATTACGATATGGATACTTGGGAACCCTTAATGCCTACGATCAGTGACCGATCTATTTAGCATTACAAAATCGATTTTATTTCGTGTTTATCGCCGAATTTGTAGAGCGATTGCCAACAAACTTTTCGGTCAATATTTGAAATACCTCCTTGTTTGAAACTGAGCACCGCTGGGCAAAATGATTAATTTCGGATCCTTCGCCCAAAGGAACGCGTTGGATCAATGATCCAATGATCCGATGATCCGTCTTTAGATAACGCAGATCAGTGATCCGATGAATCCTTGTCTAGAGTGGATTTGATAGATCACTGATCTGTAAATGGATTTGCTCGAAAGAAACGCCACAGATCAGAAATCCGATCCGTATTCTCCCAAAGGAACGCACCCTTTGTGTCTATGAAGACGTTTTTCTTCGATATACTTTTAGTACATGAGGTGATGGTTCCGTTAAAAAAGGTAACTTGACAGTTGGTTTTCAGGTAGAGGAAATTTTTGTTAATTAGAGGTCGCCGCAAACTATTTTAATTAGACATTTGGGCGTCAGAGTGATACTTTCGTTTCCTTTGTGAGTGACTTAGATACGTTAAAACCAATCGGGTTGGGTGGTGTATCATGGAGCCAATCAAATCGTGTCTTAAAAAATAAAATGACGTGCAGTGAAGCGGACTTGTAGCTATTGTTGTGGCTTGTTAGGATATTGGCTAAATCTAAAAAAAAAAAAACTCTTGCACGCGTTGCGTACCTATGTTTTGCTTAGTCAGCAATCTGATACAGGATGGAAAACCATTCGCCTGCAGGAAAATAAACGATTTCTTTAAACCACCTGCTCCCCCGCTGAAGGCTTTTAAAAATCTAATGAAGAAACATCTTTTTTCTCAGCAGTAATTTTGTTGTGATATAGACATTTCTTAATTGTGTGGTGATCACGTGGCTGAAGAGCCCAGTGGGAAGTTATTATTAAAAGTTTCTTCTGTTTAGCCATGACTTCGGTAAGGAGTTTGATGGTCTCTCTCTTTCAAAACTAAACAATGTGAATCTACTGACTAGAGATGTAGTCTAGAGCGTTTTATTGCCCGCAAACCAGAAAATGACATAGGACTTTAAAGGGACGAATTTTAGAAATTTCAGTATAATTGGTTGTGCAAGTGGCAGTGATCAGGATATTCATGGAATCATTTTGTCTATGAAAACCTACATAAACAGTGTTCTGAAGACCCTATTGGCTTATTAATTTAATTAACTGTTGATTTAAAAAAATCGAATTCAAATGGAATTGGTGGGAATATTCTTTTACAAAAACCAAAGTTAACACTTTTTTGGATTTCAAACCTAAATATCTGTGCATGACTATAGCCCTTGATAAGATCAATTTTGCTTGCATTAACATACTGGCCAAGCGACATTAGCTTCCGTTGCAGCTGGCACAGCCTATATAATTAGAATAAGGAGTTGGAGAACAGATCAGCACAACCCTAACAAGAATTTAATGGGATGTCCCCTTCCTCCTGGGGAAGGAGTTTGTCAATTTTTGTGTATCCCTTCCGTTCTGAGCGATAAGTAAGGATGGGAAACTGTAATAACTAGGACCCATGATCTGAATTTTTCTAGCTTGACGTTTGTTTCCTGAGTAATAATTGTTAGCAGCTTATAGACTGCACCTGGTCACGGCAGGACTCAAGTCAGCCTTCAGGTCCAAGCTAATTACCTTACGTAGGCTTATTTCAAAACGTCAAGGAACATGAATGAATATGGAAATGTTTCGTTTCGTCATTAATGATACGATAATTTTCTTCAACCAGAAGAAACCATCTGTAACAGAACCACTTCAAGCTCTCATTTAGCACATGCTTGCTTTCCCGCGTAATGATAGCTGAAGTCTTTAATCCCAAATCATAATTATTTGGGCTTTTATTGCACATATTTTCTTTTATATTAGTTTAATTTCTTTCTTTAACTTTCATTATATTGATGTTTCAACATCGAAATATATAATGACATTCAAAGAAAGCTTAAAAGCCACATTCATTATCTGTTAACTGTCATTATGTAAGTTTCCATGTATGGATAAAAACCATCGTTTGATTGATAGATTGATTGATATAGACTAAGATTGGTGTCGACTCCGGCGAGTCGACTTGTAGAACTCATTTATGAGAGCTGTTCGCTAAAAGGAAATTCAGTACTTTGCCAGTGTCGGAGAGGTACTCCTACTAATGAAAGAAATGCAAGCGAACATGACTATCAACACAACAGTGAAGGAAGGGCAGCCAGTTACATTTCCAAACTGCTTCAATCCTTTAGCGAGAAGAATTGGAGAAACTATTGTTTATTGCTTGTTACTTGTTATTTCGTTGGTGGGAAACACCCTTATTGGGATAATTGTCTACAGGACAAGAACTTTAAGAAAACCCATCAACTTTTTCATCGTTAACATGGCCACGTCCGATCTGATTTATTCGCTTTTCCTGTTCACGCCAAGCATAACACAGCTACATCTGGGCTCCGAAGCCTGGTTAATAAGAGGTCGTCTTGGCGAGGCCTTGTGTAAGATGACAACTTTCTTAGCAGATGTCTCAACCGGTGTGTCAATTCAGAACCTGGTTTTAGTGGCAGTGGATCGATTTGTGGCTGTAATAATTCCCCTCCGTTCGCCATTCATCAGTACAAAATTGTCCTACTTGTTAATTTTTGCTTCTTGGATAGTCGCCATGGCTGTCTTCTCGCCGTTTTTCCTCACCTTTACGGTTGTCGAGTATTCTGGAGGGGCCAAATGTCAGAGGCAGTGGAGTGAAGTTTTTGGGGACTCTACGTCTTTCAAACACTACTTCCTGAGCGTTTCAATTTTAGTGTTTTATGTTCCTTTGTTGTCGATTGCCATACTTTACATCGCCATTTTTTTAAAACTGAAGTCACGGAAAACGCCAGGCGAACAATCAGACAACTCAAGGAAAAGCAGAGAAAGACGAGAGCGAAATGTGCTCAAGATGTCGATAGCTATCGTGTTTGCATTTGCGATATGCTGGCTTCCCTTCACCTCCAGCCAAATAGGATACCTTTTTTTGGCGGACAGGGCCCTGATATCTTCTTGTGGGTACAAAATTTTCACACTTGCTGCATTTTTTCTGGCTGTATCATATTGTGCGATTAACCCTTGTATCTGCTTCATTTTCAATGGAAATTATCGTCAAGGACTTAAGAAACTCCTTAGTGGCTCATCTGTTGATAACAGGGTTGATCCAGTCCCACCCGCCCAGTAGTAGTCCTTAGAACACAGCTAATAAGCCAGGCTAGTTGTCGATGATATTTCATACAGGAAAGAAGGATATTTATGAGAAGAAAAAACTTATCATAACTTGATAAATAAATAATAACGGGTCTTAGGACACATTTCACAAGTCACAGAATCTAGAAATATAATAATATAATTTTAAAAAAATGGAAAGAAGTATAGTAAACAATAATAAACGCAATGGTTAGCAAGAGGCAGACTAGTTGACACCTTACAAAGCGCAGCCAAGGAGTTGAACTTGGAGCAATTGAAAAACGATCCAATGAGTATCAGGGCGGAAGCCTTAAAAAGAAAAAGCTCGCTAACATAAAATAACCTGTGAAGGAGTATAATTTTAAAAGTTTTGTTTGCAAAATGAGTACTATTTACGTCCACAATGTAATCGCATGCGAGTAATCACTCAGGCACTCAGGTTTGCCACTTTGTATGATCATCTTGTAGTGACAATTTAGAACAGTACTGTTTTCAAGGATGAAATGAGATGTTAAGAAAAAAAAAAGGCCGTTGAGCTTAGGTTTAAAGTGTGAAAGGTTTCCTCTTCATGAATCGCTTTTCGGGGCCGTACCTAGGAATATCGAGGAAGAAGCGGAAGCGGGGGTTGAAGTCGTTAGATTGACGAGCGATATCAAACCTTAGAGGCGCGAGTTTGTGCAAGACGTTCCAGAGGGGGAATATACCGAGAGTGTTTACCTCAACGAATGCTATTGAAATATACTAGATTTCAAATGAGTTAGCCATGGCCAACAAGCTGCTGTTGTATCTCACTTCCAAACTTTCATCTAATACCTGGGGCCCTTAATCGAAAGTCTCAATTATTTTCGGGCTCGATGTCAAAAAATCTAAATGTTAGGAAAACTATAACGTGTATTAGCTCAAAAATCTCTCCGTTCTGTTTAATTTCTCATTACTTCGTTCTGTTTCATCGTTCGCATTATGAAAATTCTGTTATCTTGACCTTACAATGTGAACGACACAAATAAAAGCTTTAATTTACAAGACCGAATACCTCTTGAACAGTCAAGAAACGGCTACAGGAATGCTAATTACCGTTACAGAGACGCGCCTCAGGTCTGACAGTCGAGAATTGAATTGTCCCAGATCCCTATTGTACATGCCGCGCAAGATTTTTGGAAGCCTGTCATTATGTATTTTCTGGCCCTGTAAATCAAAAGGTCCAGCTTCGAAGCCTAGTCGGTCCTTAAAGGCCGTTCATAACGTCCGTTTTTGATTCAGGTTTCCCAGGGTTCCACTTGGGCTCGACGTATTCCGGTACTTTCCATACTGACGGGGGTGGAGTAAAAGGTTCGCCTTCACTTCCTTCGGATTGCGAACGCTGTCTTGAGAGGAACTGCGCATGTGTAGCCAGTACTGGGGAAGCAGGTACTTTGGGAGGTGATTTAGGAATAGTTGAGGATTCAAGCTTCCTTGCAAGCTTTACAGTGCTAAATCTCGTCTTACCAGAATCTACTCTTTGGAGAGGTGGATGCGTGTTCTGTGTAGGAGGAGAAGATAAATTCAAGATATAAGCAAAAACAGCCCTTCTGTGTAGTGTAGTGTATCATCACCCAATCAGAATTTACGTACGTTAAGAAACAAATTCCGCTTAACCAATCAAAAGATTCGTCATAAGCACGATTTCCCGCTTTAACACTTGATCACATGATACAAGCAAACTGCAAGACAACTCTGACATACTAAGGAATGGACTCTCTTGGCCAGCCAATTTTAGTAAGGGCATGTTGACTTCTTTTTTCCACAAGAGGCTGACTAACAAAACCATCAAACATGATGGCACAAGGAAGCTCTCCTGCTGTTTGCTTGTTTGCTTTCAAACACGCAGTAACCTACTGGCACCTGCACTGGACTCACACACAAGGCTCTGGTTTGATTTTTGCATCAACCAGGACTGTGTTGAATGATGTTCTTGGTTCACCGTCACAGTGCAGGTGAATTAATTAGTGCCGGCTAATTGTTAGGGAAACCAGACGAAATGTTGAAAGTCACTAAGCCTCTTCGAAAACCATCTCCACACCACATAACATTAGCAATTTGACTAACTTCTGCTAACCTTATCTCCTTGCTTGAGATTCTCTTTCATCTCTCTTTGTCCCTGTTCTTTATAAATCTTCAGTTTTTGTTCTTCTTTCTGGTAAATAAAGTGAAGCACAAAACACTTGTTTTTAAGAAACTCTCAGAGTTGACAGATGAAATAAAAAAAAAAGAAAAGAAACGAAAAGGAAAAAAAATGATGTGTTCTCTTGTTGTCACTTGCATGGTCAACATTCCCTTTAAAAATGGTATTTCAACAAAAAAGACAAGAAACAACTACAGATTTTGCAAAAAACTCCAAATTTAAACTATTTGGATATTAAAAATTGAACTTTTTTTGAAACACTATGCAGTTTCATGCCAGAATTGTTGCTATGTTGAGTCAAATAGAGTTTGTTCACAGTCTATTAAGCAACAAGAGGCTGCAGTGGTTTCAAGACATGGATTATTGTTGTGAAAATCTGTACATGTCCTTGCCACCAACTTAGCAACTGTGATATGTTGCACAAATTTAAACAGGCTTGACTTTGTTATTATCACTGAATTGGCCAAGCTGCACAGAGAGGTTACAGTTACCAAGACATAGTGCTACAGCTGGCTGTTGTGTCTGTTCCTACCTTTTAGACACCACATCTTTTAGTCAAAAACACATATCACAAACAACACACGAGGGTACTGTGTGTAAATGTCCATCAGCAAAAGGCCAAAATAACTTGTTCTAGAGAAATCAAACTTTGTAGAAGCTGTAGTATGCATACTGATGTGCACAAAAACCAGAGAAATCAGAGAAGGCAGGCAAAAGAAAATACAATTCCTCCCCTCATCTTGTTTTAACCCCTTAACTCCAATGAGTGACCAAGGCAGAATTTCTCCTTACAATATCAATACAATATCAACCAGATAAGTGATGAGAATAAAGAAAAATATCAATTAGGAGATAATTAGTTGATTCAATACTAAATTCTCTGAACTAAAATTATAATAATTGTATGGTTGACAGTAAGGAGAATTACAAATTTGATCTGGGAGTTAAAGGGTTAACAGCAGAGAAAACAGATGCACATGTACCTAGATGTAATCAGCTATGCATTGTTAACCATTGAAACAGTTTTTACCTCCTTCTCTTCCCTTTCATGTTCCTTTCTCTTTAATCGTTCTTCCTTTTTCTTGACCTTCTTTTCTTTCTTTTCTTCTTCTTTCTGTTCCTATGAACAGATTCATATTCTCACTCACTCAAATCCAAGACTAATCACATCCCCTAATCTTCAAAATTTTTCAATTGCCATTTTAATACACTGCAATAATAGTAATATGCATCATAAGGCAAGGAGACCTCCAGAACCCACCCCTCTTTTGGGAGAGGCCATTTAACCTACAACAGTGTATTAAATAAATAATTTAATATATAAATAAAAAGTGCTGTGAATATGCAGCTTGGCCAACTTGGCGATTATTTTGGTGAAAACTCTCATATTTTTGTATTGAGGCTATGAAGACTTGATGAATGAGTGACTGATACAGGAAGTGAGTTCCAAATCTTAGGACCTTGGTAGAGAAATGTATATTGCTTGAGATTGGTACAACAAAAAGGCATTTGATTATTACTAGCAGCTCTTATGCCACAGCAGTGAATTTTGCTATTTGCTCCAAAAGGATTAAAGCAATGGGGGCAATAGGTTATTTAAAACATGAATTTGGTGATTTCACAAGTATTGACTTGGAAAATATCTAAAATCTTTAGTTTGAAGAATAATGGATAAAAATGGGCCTCTCACTCCCAGGACTTATTTATCATTATTAACAGTAATGAGGGTTATACATTTCTTAAACCAACACCTCAAACATTGGCATTAATCAAAATTATATCCTTTACATGAATTTCTATACTTTCTTCTCAAATCTTTTTACTTGAAACTATACTGAGCACACTATAAAAAGATCATTATTAACAGTAACAAGGGCTATACATTTCTTAAACTGACACCTCAAACATTGGCATTAATCAAAATGATATCCTTTATATGAATTTCTTTATTTTCTTCGCAAATCTTTTTACTTGAAACCACACGGAGCATATTATAACAAAAATTTCCTTATTGGTCACTCCTTGGGAGAAAATTGGCTAAGTTCTACATGAATTTCTGGTGTGGACATGATTAAAGATCTTTTTTTTCCATAATTGCCAAAAATAACATTTTGGTTGCCAGGAAAAGAACCATGTGTAATATTACATGACATCCTGAAGCCCTGATCACATCCATTGTCTTTGGAGTAAGCAGTATGACTGGCATGCATTTCTGAAGTTTTGCATGTAATCTTCAGGCTTAACCCTTTAATTCCCATGAGTGATGAAGTCTGAATTTCTCCTTACAATATCAATATAGTTCCAAGCAATGAGAATAAAGAAAAGTATCAATTAGGAGATGAATTGTTGATCCAATACCAAATTCTCAAAACTAACATCATAAGAATTGTGTGGCAGATAGAAAGGAGATTACTAATAAGATCTTGTTATAAAATGGCTAAAAACTCAACCAAGGAAAATGAGTCAAATTTTTATCACTGACAAATAACCTTGGAGAAAGAGTCACACCTTCTGAAAATGTTCGCTTCACTCTAACTTCTGCCCCTTACATTGCGAATTAGGTAAAACAGCTGTTGTCTAGTCACCCTGGTGACCAAGACAAGTGCACCTTGGAGTACTTTGTGGTAACTGCCAAGAAAGCTCATGCAAACTAACACACAACAAAACTTTCCATGAAAAAATATTTCAAACTTGATGGTACATAATTTTTATTGCGAACACTTCTCAATCAGAATCTATTGTGGCCTTAAACCTTTTTTAAACTGCCACAATAAAATAGTGGTTGATGTACACTTTTGACTGACTATTTCATTCATAGATTTATTTAAAATTTATTTTTTATCATTAGATATTTATTCCCTTTTAGTACATTCAAATAATTAGCATTTATTTGCCTCACGCTTAGCAAAAACTGTTGAATAATCCTTGAGATGAAGTTGAGGGGAGTATTCATCAATTTTCACTGAGCTTGTGGCTGTAATTGTTTTGGTATAATTGCTTAGATGCATTTGCATTCTGTTGTAAATTTGGTTTGATATTGGAACCATTGAATACAATTGCTTTGATTACTCATAACAAGATAAGCAGCCAGTTTCCGCAGGAGTTTAACAAGTTTATTTAATTCAATAAGAAAAAACACCATATCTTTCTTTTGAAAAGTGTCACACCAAACTTTGTAGCAATTCTTTTGTGCTTATATCATGTTTATTATGTCCAGCATATCATTGACAAAACACAAAGCAACCTTTTGGAAATTTAGAGCCCCTGCTAAACTCACTTCACATGAGGCGAGTATCATGAGATATGACAAAATCCTCCACCAATCAGAGCCCATGCATTTCTATAATCACCCCAACAACTATACTAATAAACAATTATTCACCCATTCAAAATAGAGGATAAAGGGGTAAGTTTCTAAAGAAACTGTGGTGCTGCGTCGGTGGGAGAAAATAGCAGGTAATTTAGTGTTAACAACTGGGTTGAAAATGTAAATTAGCCACCGTAAAGGGTAAAAAAGCTGACGTTTCGAGCGTTAGCCCTTTGTCAGAGCGATTAGAGGAATTGTGGGTTGTGTGTGGATTTATATGCAGAAAGTGGGGCTACGCCATTGGTGGGAATATGGTGACGAGAAAACAGGAATAAATTAGTTGAATGAAAAGTGCTCGTTGATTCCGTGGGGATTAAGGGTGCCGATTTGGAATATAAATTTTTGTTCTAGTGTTTTACAGCTTTCCGAACTGCCCAGATGTAAGGAAAGGCCACAAACTGCCATATGCTGTGTAGAATGATTAGGAAGATTAAAGTGTCTAGTGACTGGTTTGGATGCATCCTTGTCATTTCTTTCCACATCGCGAAGGTGTACTCGGTGTAATCCACACACAACCCACAATTCCCCTAATCGCTCTGACGAAGGGCTAACGCTCGAAACGTCCTTCACCAATTTAGCGCATGCATTTTCTATTAACCCCTGCAACTTACTTAACACTTATTTACCCAAAAAATAGTGGATATTTACCCTAATCCACAAAGCAGCAAGGTAAATATTGAAGTTAATACTTGTTTTGGTTTATACCACATAAAAACCCTAACTTTGTTAATAGAACAAATGATGGAGTTAAAATAACATTAAGAGGTGACAACAAATTTCCCTTTGTGGTACAGCCCTTATACTGTTGGCAAATATATTAGGGGTGCCACTGTAACCATGATTGTAAAAGAGAAGGAAGGAGATATCCCATACAATTAATTTTGATCAAGAGGGTTAGAGTTAGCATGCTAACAAAGTCATTTGCATTTGAAAAGCAACAACGTTTGTATCATAACAAGGTCAAACTAAGTCTCACTCCTGTTCAAAGGCTTGGCAACCAAGCATAACAACCTAGCATGAGGAATCCAACCTCAGACCTTTGTTGCTCTACCACTGAGCCACAGAGACTCTACAGTGAGCAAGGTACTCAGAGTTTTTTCTTTGTCTCACACTTGTGAAAAGACAAAAGACAACCTTCTCTGTCTCTTTACTGAGCTCAAAACTTACCATCTCTCTTATTTTATTTACAAACATGACAATATCAACATTGCTGATCCTAACAGTATGCGGGACACATGTCATATAACCTTTGTAATAGACCTCACTCACCATAGAGTCTCTGTGACTCAGTGGTAGAGCATCAGAGCGCAGAATCCAAAGGTCTGAGGTTCAAATCCTCATGGGGACTCAGAAGTTTTTCTTTGTCCAATGCTCGTGACAAGATGAAAAACATCTTTTTCAAAGCTACTTTTATTTACATTTAAATTTCCTATCCAAACTGTTACTATTTATTTTATTTTCCTTAAGAAGTTGTGGTTTCTTCTGGACAAACACTCCCTAGAATAAGAAAATAAGGCAAAAGAAGACAACAAAATTCACAACATCGAAAAACTACTACTCTGTACCAACAAGACATGTCTGGAACAGGGAACTTTTGTCACACTTGAGCATTCCTAGTGTAATTGGAAGGAGAAGTTGCCTCAGATCTCTCATGGGTAGAATTTGTATCACGGTCGTTTCCTTCAAACTAAGATATCCTGCAGACATATCAAGACTAATTTTTTTGTGAATTCGAAGACAACAAGCACAAATAAATTTTCAAATTAATGTTACATAAAAATTTCAAACAGACTGATAAAATCTTTCATGACAAACCACGGTCCAAAGTTTCTACGCGTCTCCTCAAGCTTGCCAGAATCCATCATTCCATATCTTTTCTTTGTGTTCTAAAAATCTTTAACCAAAGTGTCCACATTTGCCGCCATCTTGTATTGTACTAGATACCAGTCTCCAACAGAATATCTGGTAAATTTCAAACTCGCTACATACCGTAATTACTCGATTGAACGCCGCCCCGACTAAACACCGCAATTTAGAGGAGAAATATAAATAAACACCGCCTTCGAATAAACGCCGCATCATGACGCGGCGTTTATTTGAATAATTGACTCAAAAAGCACACGGTAACAAATACTTCGATCACACTTGAAAATTTTGTGTGAACCAGACGCAAATCCTTTTTTAACTCGTGAATTGCGCGCATGCGCAAGAGCGAGTTGTAGATATGATGTGGGGAATGGCAATTGCTCGCTCGCTCGCTCGATTGGTCGATTCCTGTAAACTTTTTTTCGATTTCAGGCTTTTGAGTGCATTTGATAGTTTTTGGCGAGCAATAAACAAACGAAATGGCGACCTTTGTTGCTAAGAATAGTGGTGGGCTGAAAAAGAAGCCAATGATAATCTTAAAAGAGTTTTTTTTTTTGGTTTAGTTTCAACAAGCGGCGCCAGCGACTGGCAGGCATGCAAGGATTCACACTGAAATAACAGAACAACCTTCGTTTTTCATAAAATTGTAATTTACAATCCTTGAACTTGAAAACAATCCGGAGATTTATTGAAAATATCACTTACTGCACTGCGAAGCGCTCGGAGTTTACAGATGTTCAAAAGCTTTTTCTGTCATGGCGTGAGATTGAGGACAAAATTGATCATACGTTTCGTCGCGTGTACTTTTCCTGTGTGAAGCAACAAAAGATGCCAGCGACTGACGAAGTTACAAGTTAACACGAAAATCAGATAACACCTAAACAAACAATTTAAGCTACCGAGTTTCCGTGAATTTTTAAAGAACAATTTTCTTTTAAGTTTCAAGACAATTTATAGATTCAACATACATACAACGTACTAAAATGCGAAAGTTATACACCACAAAATTGATAAATAGGCCTGAAATGAAATTCTATCTTGTTATTGAGTATACGTTGCCTAGCACGTGACTTAAATCTACCCAGGCGGAGATCCAAAATGACGGTGGCAGGCTTGGCTTAGTTATATCACTCAAAACTCTTTCCCGTTTGTCTCATTTGATTAAGAGGGAATCGTTAATGTTTTCATTAAGACAGTATTGCCTTGCTTTTCTAATATTTATAATGATAGACAGTAAATTCACTTTTAACCCACCTTTTCTTTTGAACCAGAAACAATAATGATAGACGTTTAAAACACGTGACATCATCCACCCTTGTCAAATGTAATAGCATGATCATTTCAATTGTAATGCCTTCTTATCCCAACGTTACTTTGTTTCTTTGCTACATTAGCGAACACTGAACTACTGCTCGTACTCTAGATATGACAATCAATCACAAAATTCCCTAAACCAGGTAACATTAAACATAATCTAAACAATCATGTGTCAATTCACGAGTTTGCTCACAGAGCACTTTGATAATGTACCAGTTCTGATGTCGAGGAAGCATAACCGACATTGACTCTTTATTCACATTATGTATTGCAGTAATATAATAATATGCAAATCGTGAAATTGAGAACGATTTAAAAATAACTTTTTGGACAAGCACGAAAACATGTTTGGATTTTAAATAAACGCCGCACTCGAATCACGAAAAATTTGATAAACGCCGCGGCGTTTAATCAAATATATACGGTATGCAATAAAGCAGGGAGGGCTATGCAGTAATGCGTAAATATGAACATTGCTGACGTAGTTCTCTCCATCCGTACTGAACGTCCGAAAACGTACAATGATCTGGATCTACATTTTGCTTAATGTTTTGTCTATTAACTTTGGGTAAAGGACTGTACGTCACACCATGGTCGCGCTTGCTCGAGCGTGGGCGGAAAAACTCGGTTCCCGGCCGGTGACCCCTATTTTTAATAACATCAAACATAAGAAAAAACTTTATAATACCCGGGATAAATTTTTCATTTACAGCCAAAACTGTGTTATATAATTGATTGTGCAAGTGGCAGTGAGCGGGATATTCATGGAATCATTTTGACACACAAACGCTGTTCTGAAGACCCTATTGGCTTATTGATTTAAAGATTATTACATTAGCTGTTGATTTAAAAAAAATCGAATTCAAATGGAATTGGTGGGAATATTCTTTTAAAAAAAACAAAGTTAGCTCTTTCAGTTTGGATTTCAAACCTAAATATCTTGGAATAGTGCGTGACTATAGCCATTGATAAGATCGATTTTGCTTGCATTATCATATTGGCCAAGCGAAATTAGATTCCGTTTCAGCTGGCACCATCCATATAATTAGAATAAGGAGTTGGAGAACAGATCAGCACAACCCTAACAAGAATTTAATGGGATGCCCCCTTCCTCCTGTGGGAAAGAATTTGTCAATTTCTGTGTATCCTTTCCGTTCTGAGCGATAAGTAAGGATGGGAAACTGTAATAAGTAGGACCCATGATCTGAATATTTTTAGCTTGACGTTTGTTTCCTGAGTAATAACTGTTAGCAGCTTATAGATTGCACCTGGTTATGACAGGAGTCTAGTCAGCCCTCAGGTCTACACTAATTATTCTACGTGGGCTTAATTTCAAAACGTCAAGGAACATGAATGAATATGGAAATGTTTTATTCATCATTAATGATACGATAATTTGCTTCAACCAGAAGAAACCATCCGTAACATAACCACTTCAAATTCTCATTTAGCACATGTTTGCTTTCTCGTGTAATGATAGCTGAAGTCTTTAAACCCAAATCGTACTTAATTCTTTGGGCTTTTATTGCACATATTTTCTTTTATCTTAATCTATTCCTTTCTTTAACTTTCATTACATTGATGTTTTAAGATCGAAATATATAATGAAATTAAAAGAGAGCTTAAAAGCCACATTAACCTTTTAACTGTCATTACTTAAGTTTCCATGTACGGATAAAAACTATCATTTGATTGATCGATTGATTGATGTAGACCAAGATTGGTGTCGACTCCGGCGAGTCGACTTGTAGAACTCATTTATGAGAGCTGTACGCTAAAAAGGAAATTCAGCAATTTGCCAGTGTCGGAAAGGTACTCCTACCAATGAAAGAAATGCAAGCGAACATGACTATGAACAAAACAGTGAATGGAGGGCAGCCAGTTACATTTCTATACTGCTTCAATCCTTTAGCGAGAAGAATCGGAGAAACTATTGTTTGTTGCTTGTTACTTGTTATTTCGTTGGTGGGAAACACCCTTATTGGGATAGTTGTTTACAGGACAAGAAGCTTAAGAAAGCCCATTAACTTTTTTATCGTTAACATGGCCATGTCCGATCTGATTTATTCGCTTTTCCTGTTCACGCCATACATAACACAGCTACATCTGGGCTGGTCAATAAGAGGTCGTCTTGGCGAGGCGTTGTGTAAGATGACAACTTTCTTGGCAGATGTCTCAACCGGTGTGTCAATTCAGAACCTGGTTTTAGTGGCAGTGGATCGATTTGGGGCTGTGATAATTCCCCTCCGTTCGCCACTTATCCGTAGAAAATTGTCCTACTTCCTAATTTTCGCTTCTTGGATAGTCGCCATGGCTGTCCACTCACCGTTTTTCCTCACCTTTACTGTTGTTGAGTATTCTGGAGGGGCCCAATGTCAGAGGCAGTGGAGTGAAGTTTTTGGGGACTCTACGTCTTTCAAACACTACATTCTGACCCTTTCAATTTTAGTGTTTTATATTCCTTTGCTGTCGATTGCCATACTTTACATCGCCATTTTTTTAATACTGAAGTCACAGAAAACGCCAGGCGAACAATCACACAACTCAAGGAAAAACAGAGAAAGACGAAAGCGAAATGTGCTCAAGATGTCGATAGCTATCGTGTTTGCATTTGCGATATGCTGGCTTCCCTTCACTTCCAGCCAAATAGGATACCTTTTTCTCGCGGACAGGGCCCTGATATCTTCTTGTGGGTACAACATTTTCAGAATTGTTGCATATTTTCTGGCTGTATCATATTGTGCGATAAACCCCTGCATCTGCTTCATTTTCAATGGAAATTATCGTCAAGGGCTTAAGAAACTCCTTGGTGGCTCAATTTTTTGGTACCAGGGTCGATCCCGTCCCATCCGCCCAGTAGTAGTCCTTAGAACACAGCTAACATGCGAGGTTAGTTGTCGATGATATTTCATACAGGAAAGAAGGATATTCATGAAAAGAAAGAACTTATCATAAATTGATAAATAAATAATAACGGGTCTTAGGATACATTTCACAAGTCATAGAGTCTAGAAATAATATAATTTTAAAAAAATGGAATGAGGCATAGTAAACAATTATAAACGCAATGGTTAACTGGGAACCTCAACTGGCAAGAGGCAGACTATTTGACACCTTACAAAGCGCAGCCAAGGAGTTGAACTTGGGGCAACTGAAAAACGATCCAATGTGTATCAGAGCGGCAGCCTTAAAAAGAGAAAGCTTGCTAACATAAAATAACCTGTGAAGGCGTATAATTAAGTTTTGTTTGCAAAACGAGTATTACTTACTTCCACAATGTAATCGCATGCAAGTAATCACTCAGGCACTCAGGTTTGCCACTTTGTAAGACCATTATGTAGAGACAATTTGGAACAGTACTGTTTTCAAGGATGAAATGAAATGATTAAAAACAAAGGCGTTGAGCTTAGGTTTAAAGTGTGAGAGGTGTCCCGTTCATGAACCGCTTTTCGCGGCCGTAACTAGGAATATCGAGGAAGAAGCGGGGGGAGGGGGTGGGGTAATAAGGGGGGGAGGGGGTGGTGAGCAGTGACGTTTAGGGTGTAGTCGTTTGACTGACGCGCGATTTCAAGCCTTAGAGGCGCGAGTTTGTGCGAGACGTTCCGGAGGGAGAATATAATGAGAATGTTTACCTTAACGAATGCTATTGAAATATACCAGATTTCAAATGATTTAGCCATGGCCAACATGCTGTTATTGTATCTCACTTCCAAACTTACCGTACCTGGGGGCCCTTAATCGAAAGTCTCAAATATTTTCGGGCGCGATGTCATTAAATCTAAATCTTAGGAAAACTATTACGGGTCTTAGCTCAAAAATCTCTCCGTTCTGTTTAATTTCTCATTGCTTCGTTCTGTTACATCGTTCGCGTTATGACACTTCTATTATCTTGACCTTGCAATGTGAACGACACAAATAAAAGCTTTAATTTAAGTTCCGAATACCACTGGAACAGTCAAGAAAGGGCCACAGGAATGTTAAGTACCGTTACAGAGACGCGCCGCAGGTCTGACCATCGAAATCCATACGAACTGAATTGTCCCAGATCCCTAGATTGTACATGCCGCTTAAGATATTTGGAAGACGTGATGGAGTGGTAATTATTCTTGGCCTTTAAGGCCGTTCATAACGTCGGGTACGGACGTACCATGATAGCAGAACGGTCCCAAAGTCTTTCAATTACTATACTATATATGCGTGCCAAGTTATTTAGGGTTAAGCACGGACCCGTGTTTTTTCTCAGTTCATAAGCGTCTATGGCCCCAAAAATCGAAAAAACTTGGGTCCGTTCCACTTTCTTCATTTTTGACGATTCCGCACCCGATTATCCTGTTGTGCAAGTTGCCTCTCAGGCAAGACACGCTAATCTCACGGTACCCCTTTTTAGCCCCAAACCCCCTACACCCCACCCTTCGAGTACAAATGAGTACCAGCCCATTTGACAGGAAATGTGAACAAGGAAGAGCATTGTAAAAATTTCATCGTTCAAATAATTATCTTTAGTAACTTTATTCAGTAAACAAACCGAAACTTTTGGCACTTAATATATAGTTAATATCTTTGCAAATACTGTTTTAATACACTCCCATTTCAAAGAAAATAAAAGATGCATTATTTGTTCTTAATGGCCAGTCAGCGGGGACCGGAATATGGCGCTGTTCGGTTCGTCTGGACCAAATAAGGAGTAGGATCTCACATCGGTGTCTGAATTAAGTTTACCCTCCTCTTTCAACTGAGATAGCAGATCTAGACCGGAAAAACTGGAATATGTGTTGAATCGGTTATCTGGCTTTTCCAGGACCTTGGCAGGAGGCGAACTTGATTTCGTCTCGCAAGGCGCTAAGCTTTTCTCGGGGTTTTGATTCATAAATTGATTCTTTTTAAACGACTGGCTGTTGTAAACAGGATTATGTAGCTGGTTAAATGGCGGCTCAAGCTTAACTTTAGCACAAACAATATCATTATTTAACAGAGTCTTTTTCAAGTCCGTTTTGATTCGGGTTTCCCAGGGTTCCACTTGGGCTCGACATATTCCGGTACTTTCCATACTGACGGGGGTGGAGTGGAAGGTTCGCCTTCACTTCCTTCGGATTGCGAACGCTGTCTTGAGAGGAACTGCGCATGTGTAGCCAATACTGGGGAAGCAGGTACTTTGGGAGGTGATTTAGGAATAGTTGAGGATTCAAGCTTTCTTGCAAGTTTTACAGTACTAAATCTTGTCTTTCCAGAATCTACGCTTTGGAGAGGTGGATGCGTGTTCTGTGTAGGAAGAAAAGATAAATTCAAGATATTAACAAAACAACCCTTCTATGTAGTGTAGTGTATCATCACCCAATAAGAATTTATGTACGTTAAGAAACACATTCCGCTCAACCAATCAAAAGATTCGTCGTTAGCACATTTTCCCGCTTTCACACTTGATCACATGATCCAAGCAAACCACATGACATCTCTGACATGCTAGAGAATGGACTCTCTTGGCCAGCCAATTTCAGTAAGGGCTGGTTGACTTTTTTTTCCACAGGAGGCTGACAAACAAACCATCAAACATGATGGCATGAGGAAGCTCTCCTGCTGTTTGTTTGTTTGCTTTCAAAGACGCAGTAACCTACTGGTACGTGCACTGGACTCACGCACAAGGCTCTGGTTTGATTTTTGCATCAACCGGGACTGTGTTGAATGATGTTCTTGGTTCACCGTCACAGACCAAAGGAATTAATTAGTGCCGGCTAATTGTCAGGGAAACCTGACGAAATGTTGAAAGTCACCAAGTCTCTTCAAAAACCATCCCCACACCACATAACATTAGCAATTTGACTAACATCTGCTAACCTTATCTCCTTGCTTGAGGTTCTCTTTCATCTCTCTTTGTCTCTGTTCTTTATAAATCTTCAGTTTTTGTTCCTCTTTCTGGTAAACAAAGTGAAGCACAAAACACTTGTTTTTAAGAAACTCTCAGAGTTGACCGATGAAATAAAAAAAAAAAAAAGAAAAGAAAAAAGACAAAGGAAAAAAAATGATGTTTTCTCTTGTTGTCACTTGCATGGTCAACATTCCCTTTAAAAATGGTCTTTCAACAAAAAAAGACAAGAAAAAACAACAGATTTTGCAGATAATTCCGAATTTAAACTATTTGGATATTAAAAATTGAGCCCTCTTTGAAACATTATGCAGTTTCATGCCAGAATTTTTGCTTTGTTGAGTCAAATGCAGTTTGTTCACAGTCTATCATGGGACAAGAGGCTGCAGTAGTCTCAAATGACATGGAGAATTGTTCTGAAAATCTGTACATGTCCCAAATTAACAACTGTGACAAGTTGTACAAATTTGAACCGGTGTGACTTTGTTGTTATTATTGAATTGGCCAAGCTGCACAGAAAGGTTATAATTGCCAAGACATGGTGCTACAGCTGGCTGTTGTGTCTGTTCCTACCTTTAAGATGCCAGATCTTTTAGTTCAAAACACATTTCACAAACAATACATAAGGGTACCATATGTACACATCCATCAGCAAAAGATCAAAAGAACTTGTTCTATAAAAATTCCACTGTGTAGAAACTGTGGTATGCATACTGATTTGCACAAATACCAGAAGGCAGGCAAAAGAAAATACAATTCCTCCCCTCATCTTGTTTTAACCCCTTAACTGCCATGAGTAACCAAGATAGAATTTCTCCTTACAATATCAATGCAATATCAACCAGATAACTTATAAGAATAAAGAAAAATATCAGCTTGGAGATAACTAGTTGATTCAATACTAAATTCTCTGAACTAAAATTATAATAATTGTATGGTTGACGGTAAGGAGAATTACAAATTTGATCTGGGAGTTAAAGGGTTAACAGCAGAGAAAACAGATGCACATGTACCTAGATGTAATCAGCTATGCATTGTTAACCATTGAAATAGTTTTTACCTCCTTCTCTTCCCTTTCATGTTCCTTTCTCTTTAATCGTTCTTCCTTTTTCTTGACCTTCTTTTCTTTCTTTTCTTCTTGTTTTCGTTCCTATGAACAGATTCATATTCTCACTCACTCTATTCCAAAGGCTGATCACAACCCCTTATCTTCAAAATTTATATAGTTGCCATTTTAATACACGGCAATAATAATAATATGCATCAAAAGGTCAGGAGACCTCCAGAATCCACCCCACTTTAGGGAGAGGGCACTTAACCTACAACACTGTATTTAAAAAAAATTGAAGTAAAAAGTGTTGCAAATGTGCTGCTTATTATTTCGGTAAAAACTGTCACATTTTGGTATTGAAGCTATGTAGACTTGGTGAATGAGTGACTGATATAGGAAGTGAGTTTCAAATCTTACTTGCTTGAGATTGGTTAGACACGAAGGCATTTGATTATTACTAGCAGCTCTTATGCCGCAGCAGTGAATTTGGCTATCTATTCTAAAAAGATTAAAGCAATGGGGGCAATAGTTTATTTAAAACATGAATTTGGTGATTTTACAAGTACTGACTTAGAAAATATATAAAATCTTTAGTTTGAAGAATAATGGATAGGAATGGGCCTCTCACTCCCATGACTTATTTATCATTATTAACAGTAACAAGGGCTATACATTTCTTATACTATCACCTCTAACATTGGCATTAATCAAAATTATATCCTTTATATGAATTTCTTTGCTTTCTTCTCAAATCTTTTTATTTAAAACTATACTGAGCATGCTATAAAAAGAATTTCCTTGTTGGTCACTCCTTGGGAGAAAATTGGTGAAGTTTAACATGAAATTCTAGTGTGTACATGATTAAAGCTCAATTTTCATAATTGCAATTTAGCAGCCTTAGTTCCAAATATGGTTGCCAAAAATAGAACCATGTGTGATATTAAATGACATCCTAAAGCCCTGATCACTTCTATTGTCTTTGGAGTAAGCAGTATAACTGGTATGCATTTCTGAAGTTTTGCATGTAATCTTCAGGCTTAACTCTTTAATTCCCATGAGTGACCAAGTCTGAATTTCTCCTTACAATATCAATACAATATCAAGCAATGAGAATAAAGAAAAGTATCAGTTAGGAGATGATTTGTTGATCCAATACCAAATTCTCCAAACTAACATCATAAGAATTGTGTGGCAGATAGAAAGGAGATTACTGATGAGATCTTGTTATAAAATGGCTAAAAACTCCACCAAGGAAAATGAGTCACATTTTTATCACAAATAACCTTGAAGAGTGACACCTTTTGAAAATGTTTGCATCACTTTAACTTCTGCCCCCTCGCATTGCAAATTAAGTAAAACAGTTGTTGTCTAGTCACCCTGGTAACTAAGACAAGCACATCCTGGAGAGCTGTGTGGTAGCCGTCAAGAAAGCTCATGTGAACTAACACACAACAAAACTCCCCATGAAAAAATATTTCAAACTTGATGGTACATAATTTGTTATTGTGAACACTTCTTAATCAAAATCTATCTTGGCCTTGAACCTATTTTTACCTGCCACAATAAAACGGTGGTTGATGTATACTTCTGACCAACTATTTCGTTCATACATTTATTTAAAATCTATTTTTTTATAGTTAGATATTTATTCCTTTCTAGTACATTCATACAATGAGCATTTATTTGCCTCGGGCTGAGTAAAAATTGTTGAATAATCCTTGAGATGAAGTTGAGGGGATTATTCATCAATTTTCACTGAGGCTGTGGCAATAATTGTTTTGGTATAATTGCTCAGATGCATTAGAATTCTGTTGTGAATTTGGTTTGATGTTGGAACCATTGAATACAATTGTTTTGATTACTCATAACAAGATAAGCAGCCAGTTTCCGCAGGAGTTTAACAAGTTTATTTAATTCAATAAGAAAAAACACCATATCTTTCTTTTGAAAAGTGTCACACCAAACTTTGTAGCATCTTTTGTGCTTATATCATGTTTATTATGTCCAGTATATCATTGACAAAACACAAAGCAACCATTTGGAAATTTAGAGCCCCTGCTAAACTCACTTCACATGAGGCAATTATCATGAGATATGACAAAATCCTCCACCAATCAGAGCCCATGCATTTCTATAATCACCCCAGCAACTATACTAATAAACAATTATTCGCCCATTCAAAATAGAGGATAAAGGGGTGAGTTTCTAAAGAAACTGTGGAGCTGCGTCGGTGGGAGAGTATAGCAGGTAATTTAGTGTTAACAACTGGGTTGAAAACGTAAATAGGCCACCGTAAAGGGTAAAAAAGCTGACGTTTCGAGCGTTAGCCCTTCGTCAGAGCAATTAGAGGAATTGTGGGTTGTGTGTGGATTTATATGCAGAAAGTGGGGCTATGCCATTGGTGGGAATATGGTGACAAGAAAACAGGAATAAATTAGTTGAATGAAAAGCGCTCGTTGATTCCGTGGGGATTAAGGGTGCTGATTTTAAATATAAATTTTTGTTCTAGTGTTTTACGGCTTTCTGAACTGCCTAGATGTAAGGAAAGGCCACAAACTGCCATATGCTGTGTAGAATGATTAGGAAGATTAAAGTGTCTAGCGACTGGTTTGGATGCATCCTTGTCATTTCTTTCCACATCGCGAAGGTGTACTCGGTGTAATCCACACACAACCCACAATTCCTCTAATCGCTCTGACAAAGAGCTAACGCTCGAAACATCCGCTTTTTTACCCTTTACGGTGACTAATTTTTGTTTTCAACCCAGTTGTTAACACTAAATTACCAACAAAATAGAGGATGTTTACCCTAATCCACAAAGCAGAAAGGTAAATATTGAAGTGAATCGTTGTTTTGGTTTACACCACATAAAAACCCTAACTTTGTTAATATGACAAAAAAATGGAAATAAAGTAAAATTAAGAGGGGAAAACAAATTCACCTTTGTGGTACAGCCCTTATACTGTTGGCAAATATTTTAGGACTGTCACTGTAACCATGATTGTAAAAGAGAAGGAAGAGGGTTATAGGTTAGTATTGTAACAAAGTCAATTGCATTTGAAAAGCAGCAACATTTGTATCATAACAAGGTCAACCTTGATCTAACTCCTGTTCAAAGGCTTGGCAAGCAAGCAGTCAGCAACCAAGCATGAGGAATCAAACCTCAGACCTTTGTTGCTCTACCACTGAGCCACAGAGACTCTACAGTGAGAAAGGTACTCAGAGTTTTTTCTTTGTCTCACACTTGTGAAAAGACAAAAGACAACCTTCTCTATCTCTTTACCGAGCTCAAAACTTACCATCTCTCTTATTTTATTTACAAACGTGACAATATCAACATTGCTGATCCTAGCAGTATGCAGGACACATGTCATATAACCTTTGTAATAGACCTCACTCACCATAGAGTCTCCATGACTCAGTGGTAGAGCATCAGAGCGCGGAATCCAAAGGTCTGAGGTTCAATTCCTCATGGGGACTCAGAATTTTTTCTTTGTCCCATACTCGTGACAAGATGAAAAACATCTTTTTCAAAGCTACTTTTACTTACATCTAAATTTCCTATCCAAGCTGTTACTATTTATTTTATTTTCCTTAAGAAGTTGTGGTTTCTTCTGGACAAACACTCCCTAGAACAAGAAAATAAGGCAAAAGAAGACAATAAAATTCACAACATCGAAAAATTACTACTCTGTACCAACAAGACATGTCTGGAACAGGGAACTTTTGTCACACCTGAGCATTCCTAGTGTAATTGGAAGGAGAAGTTGCCTCAGATCTCTCATAGGTAGAATTTATATCACGGTCGTTTCCCTCAAACTAAGATATCCTGCAGACATATCAAGACTAATTTTTTTGTGAATTCGAAGACAACAAGCACAAATAAATTTTCAAATTAATGTTACATAAAACTTTCAAACAGACTGATAAAATCTTCCAAAGTTTCTACGCGTCTCCTCAAGCTTGCCAGAATCCATCATTCCATATCTTTTCTTTGTGTTCTAAAAATCTTTAACCAAAGTGTCCGCATTTGCCGCCATCTTGTATTGTACTAGATACCAGTCTCCAACACAATATCTGGTAAATTTCAAACTCGCTACATACCGTAATTATTCGATTGAACGCCGCCCCGACTAAACACCGTAATTTAGAGGAGAAATATAAATAAACACCGCCTTCGAATAAACGCCGCATCATGACGCGGCGTTTATTTGAATAATAGACTCAAAAGCACACGGTGATAAATACTTCGATCACACTTGAAAATTTTGTGTGAACCAGACGCAAATCCTTTTGAATGTACCAGTTCTGATGTCGAGGAAGCATAACCGACATTGACTCTTTATTCACATTATGTATTGCAGTAATATAATAATATGCAAATCGTGAAATTGAGAACGATTTAAAAATAACTTTTTGGACAAGCACGAAAACATGTTTGGATTTTAAATAAACGCCGCACTCGAATCACGAAAAATTTTATAAACGCCGCGGCGTTTAATCAAATATATACGGTATGCAATAAAGCAGAGAGGGCTTTGCAGTAATGCGTAAATATGAACACCGCTGACGTAGTTCTCTCCATCCGTACTGAACGTCCGAAAACGTACAATGATCTGGATCTACATTTTGCTTAATGCTTTGTCTATTAACTTTGGGTAAAGGACTGTACGTCACACCATGGTCGCGCTTGCTCGAGCGTGGGCGGAAAAACTCGGTTCCCGGCCGGTGACCCCTATTTTTAATAACATCAAACATAAGAAAAAACTTTATAATACCCGGGATAAATTTTTCATTTACAGCCAAAACTATGTAGCCAGTATAATCGGTTGTGCAAGTGGCAGTGATCGGGATATTCATGGTATCATTTTGACACACAAACGCTGTTCTGAAGACCCTATTGGCTTATTGATTTAAAGATTTTTACATTAAATGTTGATTTAAAAAAATCGAATTCAAATGGAATTGGTGGGAATATTCTTAAAAAAAAAACGAAGTTAGCTCTTTCAGTTTGGATTACAAACCTAAATATCTTGGAATAGTGCGTGACTATAGCTATTGATAAGATCGATTTTGCTTGCATTATCATATTGGCCAAGCGAAATTAGATTCCGTTTCAGCTGGCACCATCCATATAATTAGAATAAGGAGTTGGAGAATTTAATGGGATGCCCCCTTTCCTCCTGTGGGAAAGAATTTGTCAATTTTTGTGTATCCCTTCCGTTCTGAGCGATAAGTAAGGATGGGAAACTGTAATAAGTAGGACCCATGATCTGAATATTTTTAGCTTGACGTTTGTTTCCTGAGTAATAATTGTTAGCAGCTTATAGATTGCGCCTGGTTATGACAGGAGTCTAGTCAGCCCTCAGGTCTACACTAATTATTCTACGTGGGCTTAATTTCAAAACGTCAAGGAACATGAATGAATATGGAAATGTTTTATTCATCATTAATGATACGATAATTTGCTTCAACCAGAAGAAACCATCTGTAACAGAACCACCTTACATTCTCATTTAGCACATGCACCCATTAATTCTCGCGTAATGATAGCTGAAGTCTGTAAACCCAAATCATACTAATTCTTTGGGCTTTTATTCACATATTTTCTTTTATCTTAATTTAATTTCTTTCTTTAACTTTCATCATAGTGATGTTTTAACATCGAAATATATAACGAAATTCAAAGAGAGCTTCAAAGCCACATTACCTGTCAACTGTCATTACGTAAGTTTCCATGTATGGATAAAAACTATCGTTTGATTGATCGATTGATTGTAGTAGACCAAGATTGGTGTCGACTCCGGCGAGTCGACTTGTAGAACTCGTTTATGAGAGCTGTACGCTTAAAAGGAAATTCAGCAGTTTACCAGTGTCGGAGAGGTATTAATACCAATGAAAGAAATGCAAACGAACATGACTATGAACACAACAGTGAATGAAGGGCAGCCAGTTACATTTCTTTTCTGCTTCAATCCTTTAGCGAGAAGAATCGGAGAAACTATTGTTTATTGCTTGTTACTTGTTATTTCGTTGGTGGGAAACACTCTTATTGGGATAATTGTCTACAGGACAAGAAGCTTAAGAAAACCCATCAACTTTTTTATCGTTAACATGGCCATGTCCGATCTGATTTATTCGCTTTTCCTGTTCACGCGAAACATAACACAGCTACATCTGGGCTTCGAAGCCTGGTTAATAAGAGGTCGTCTTGGCGAGGCGTTGTGTAAGATGACAACTTTCTTGGCAGATGTCTCAACCGGTGTGTCAATTCAGAACCTGGTTTTAGTGGCAGTGGATCGATTTGGGGCTGTGATAATTCCCCTCCGTTCGCCACTTATCAGTAGAAAATTGTCCTACTTCCTAATTTTTGCTTCTTGGATAGTCGCCATGGCTGTCTACTCGCCGTTTTTCCTCACCTTTACGGTTGTTGAGTATTCTGGAGGGGCCAAATGTCAGAGGCAGTGGAGTGAAGTTTTTGGGGATTCTACGTCTCTCAAACACTACATCCTGACCCTTTCAATTTTAGTGTTTTATATTCCTTTGTTGTCGATTGCCATACTTTACATCGCCATTTTTTTAAAACTGAAGTCACAGAAGACGCCAGGCGAACAATCAGACAACTCAAGGAAAAACAGAGAAAGACGAGAGCGAAACGTGCTCAAGATGTCGATAGCTATCGTGTTTACATTTGCGATATGCTGGTTTCCCTTCACTTCCAGCGAAATAGGATACCTTTTTTTGGCGGACAGGGCCCTGATATTTTCTTGTGGGTACAACATTTTCAGACTTGTTGCATTTGTTCTGGCTGTATCATATTGTGCGATAAACCCCTGCATCTGTTTCATTTTCAATGGAAATTATCGTCAAGGACTTAAGAAACTCCTTAGTGGCTCATTTGTTGATAACAGGGTTGATCCAGTCCCACCCGCCCAGTAGTAGTCCTTAGAACACAGCTAATAAGCCAGGCTAGTTGTCGATGATATTTCATACAGGAAAGAAGGATATTTATGAGAAGAAAAAACTTATCATAAATTGATAAATAAATAATAACGGGTCTTACGACACATTTCACAAGTCACAGAGTCTAGAAATAATATAATTTTAAAAAAGACTATTTGACACCTTACAAAGCGCCAAGGAGTTGAACTTGGGGCAACTGAAAAACGATCCAGTGTGTATCAGGGCGGAAGCCTTAAAAAGAGAAAGCTTGCTAACATAAAATAACCTGTGAAGGCGTATAATTAAGTTTTGTTTGCAAAACGAGTATTACTTACTTCCACAATGTAATCGCATGCAAGTAATCACTCAGGTACTCAGGTTTGCCACTTTGTAAGACCATTATGTAGAGACAATTTGGAACAGTACTGTTTCCAAGGATGAAATGAGATGATTAAAAACAAAGGCGTTGAGCTTAGGTTTAAAGTGTGAGAGGTGTCCCGTTCATGAACCGCTTTTCGCGGCCGTAACTAGGAATATCGAGGAAGAAGCCGGAGGAGAGGGTGGGGTAATAAGGGGGGGGGGGAGGGGGTGGTGAGCAGTGACGTTTAGGGTGTAGTCGTTTGACTGACGCGCGATTTCAAGCCTTAGAGGCGCGAGTTTGTGCGAGACGTTCCGGAGGGAGAATATACTGAGAATGTTTACCTCAACGAATGCTATTGAAATATACCAGATTTCAAATGATTTAGCCATGGCCAACATGCAGTTATTGTATCTCACTTCCAAACTTACCGTACCTGGGGGCCCTTAATCGAAAGTCTTTAATATTTTCGGGCGCGATGTCATTAAATCTAAATCTTAGGAAAACTATTACAGGTCTTAGCTCAAAAATCTCTCCGTCCTGCTTAATTTCTCATTGCTTCGTTCTGTTTCATCGTTCGCGTTATGACACTTCTATTATCTTGACCTTGCAATGTGAACGACACAAATAAAAGCTTTAATTTAAGTTCCGAATACCACTGGAACAGTCAAGAAAGGGCCACAGGAATGTTAAGTACCGTTACAGAGACGCGCCGCAGGTCTGACAATCGAAATCTATACGCACTGAATTGTCCCAGATCCCTAGATTGTACATGCCGCGCAAGATATTTGGAAGCCGTGATGGAGTGGTAATTATTCTTGGTCCAGGCCTCTTGATCATTAAAAGGTCTAGTTTCGAAGCCTGGCCGGTCCTTTAAGGCCGTTCATAACGTCGGGTACGGACGTGCCATGATAGCAGAACGGATCCCAAAGTTTTTCAAGCACTAAATGTACGTGCCAAGTTATTTAGGGCTAAGCACGGACCCGTGTTTTTTTCAGTTCATAAGCGTCTATGGCCCCAAAAAACTTGGGTCCGTTCCACTTTCTTCATTTTTGACGATTCCGCACCCGATTATCCTGTTGTGCAAGTTGCCTCTCAGGCAAGACACGCTAATCTCACGGTACCCCTTTTTAGCCCCAAACCCCCTACACCCCACCCTTCGAGTACAAATGAGTACCAGCCCATTTGACAGGAAATGTGAAGAAGGAAGAGCATTGTAAAAATTTCATCGTTCAAATAATTATCTTTAGTAACTTTATTCAGTAAACAAACCGAAACTTTTGGCACTTAATATATAGTTAATATCTTTGCAAATACTGTTTTAATACACTCCCATTTCAAAGAAAATAAAAGATGCATTATTTGTTCTTAATGGCCAGTCAGCGGGGACCGGAATATGGCGCTGTTCGGTTCGTCTGGACCAAATAAGGAGTAGGATCTCACATCGGTGTCTGAATTAAGTTTACCCTCCTCTTTCAACTGAGATAGCAGATCTAGACCGGAAAAACTGGAATACGTGTTGAATCGGTTATCTGGCTTTTCCAGGACCTTGGCAGGAGGCGAACTTGATTTCGTCTCGCAAGGCGCTAAGCTTTTCTCGGGGTTTTGATTCATAAATTGATTCTTTTTAAACGACTGGCTGTTGTAAACAGGATTATGTAGCTGGTTAAATGGCGGCTCAAGCTTAACTTTAGCACAAACAATATCATTATTTAACAGAGTCTTTTTCAAGTCCGTTTTTGATTCGGGTTTCCCAGGGTTCCACTTGGGCTCGACATATTCCGGTACTTTCCATACTGACGGGGGTGGAGTGGAAGGTTCGCCTTCACTTCCTTCGGATTGCGAACGCTGTCTTGAGAGGAACTGCGCATGTGTAGCCAATACTGGGGAAGCAGGTACTTTGGGAGGTGATTTAGGAATAGTTGAGGATTCAAGCTTTCTTGCAAGTTTTACAGTACTAAATCTTGTCTTTCCAGAATCTACTCTTTGGAGAGGTGGATGCGTGTTCTGTGTAGGAAGAAAAGATAAATTCAAGATATTAACAAAACAACCCTTCTATGTAGTGTAGTGTATCATCACCCAATAAGAATTTACGTACGTTAAGAAACACATTCCGCTCAACCAATCAAAAGATTCGTCGTTAGCACATTTTCCCGCTTTCACACTTGATCACATGATCCAAGCAAACCACATGACATCTCTGACATGCTAGAGAATGGACTCTCTTGGCCAGCCAATTTTAGTAAGGGCTGGTTGACTTTTTTTTCCACAGGAGGCTGACAAACAAACCATCAAACATGATGGCACAAGGAAGCTCTCCTGCTGTTTGTTTGTTTGCTTTCAAAGACGCAGTAACCTACTGGTACGTGCACTGGACTCACGCACAAGGCTCTGGTTTGATTTTTGCATCAACCGGGACTGTGTTGAATGATGTTCTTGGTTCACCGTCACAGACCAAGGGAATTAATTAGTGCCGGCTAATTGTCAGGGAAACCTGACGAAATGTTGAAAGTCACCAAGTCTCTTCAAAAACCATCCCCACACCACATAACATTAGCAATTTGACTAACATCTGCTAACCTTATCTCCTTGCTTGAGGTTCTCTTTCATCTCTCTTTGTCTCTGTTCTTTATAAATCTTCAGTTTTTGTTCCTCTTTCTGGTAAACAAAGTAAAGCACAAAACACTTGTTTTTAAGAAACTCTCAGAGTTGACCGATGAAATAAAAAAAAAAAAAAAAAAAAGAAAAAAGAAAAAGGAAAAAAAATGATGTTTTCTCTTGTTGTCACTTGCATGGTCAACATTCCCTTTAAAAATGGTCTTTCAACAAAAAAAGACAAGAAACAACAACAGATTTTGCAGATAATTCCGAATTTAATATCCATTTGGATATAAAAAATTGAGCCCTCTTTGAAACATTATGCAGTTTCATGCCAGAATTTTTGCTTTGTTGAGTCAAATGCAGTTTGTTCACAGTCTATCATGGGACAAGAGGCTGCAGTAGTCTCAAATGACATGGAGAATTGTTCTGAAAATCTGTACATGTCCCAAATTAACAACTGTGACAAGTTGTACAAATTTGAACCGGTGTGACTTTATCTTTATTATTGAATTGGCCAAGCTGCACAGAAAGGTTATAACTGCCAAGACATGGTGCTACAGCTGGCTGTTGTGTCTGTTCCTACCTTTAAGATGCCAGATCTTTTAGTTCAAAACACATATCACAAACAATACATAAGGGTACCGTGTGTACACGTCCATCAGCAAAAGACCAAAAGAACTTGTTCTATAAAAATTCCACTGTGTAGAAACTGTGGTATGCATACTGATTTGCACAAATACCAGAAGGCAGGCAAAAGAAAATACAATTCCTCCACCCATCTTGTTTTAACCCCTTAACTTCCATGAGTAACCAAGATAGAATTTCTCTTCACAATATCAATGCAATATCAACCAGATAACTTATGAGAATAAAGAAAAATATCAGCTTGGAGATAATTAGTTGATTCAATACTAAATTCTCTGAACTAAAATTATAATAATTGTATGGTTGACAGTAAGGAGAATTACAAATTTGATCTGGGAGTTAAAGGGTTAACAGCAAAGAAAACAGACGCACATGTACCTAGATGTAATCAGCTATGCATTGTTAACCATTGAAATAGTTTTTACCTCCTTCTCTTCCCTTTCATGTTCCTTTCTCTTTAATCGTTCTTCCTTTTTCTTGACCTTCTTTTCTTTCTTTTCTTCTTGTTTTCGTTCCTATGAACAGATTCATATTCTCACTAATTGCCATTTTAATACACTGCAATTGTAATAGTAATATGCATCATAGAGCAAGGAGACCTCCAGAACCCACCCCACTTTTGGGAGAGGCCATTTAACCTCCAACAGTGTATTAAATAAATAAATAAATAAATAAAAAGTGTTGTGAATATGCAGCTTGGCCAGCTTGGCAATTATTTCGGTAAAAACTGTCACATTTTGGTATTGAAGCTATGTAGACTTGATGAATGAGTGATTGATACAGGAAGTGAGTTCCAAATCTTAGGACTTTGGTAGAGATATGTAAATTGCTTGAGATTGGTTAGACACAAAGGCATTTGATTATTACTGGCAGCTCTTATGCCACAGCAGTGAATTTGGCTATTTATTCTAAAAAGATTACAGCAATGGGGACAATAGGTTATTTAAAACATGAATTTGGTGATTTCACAAGTACTGACTTGGAAAATATCTAAAATCTTTTAGTTTGAAGAATAATGGATAGGAATGGGCCTCTCACTCCCACGACTTATTTATCATTATTAACAGTAACAAGGGCTATACATTTCTTATACTGTGATCTCTAACATTGGCATTAATCAAAATTATATCCTTTATATGAATTTCTTTGCTTTCTTCTCAAATCTTTTTATTTGAAACTATACTGAATATGCTATAAAAAGAATTTCCTTGTTGGTCACTCCTTGGGAGAAAATTGGCAAAGTTTAACATGAATTTCTAGTGTGTACATGACTAAAGCTCAACCAAATATGGTTGCCAAAAATAAAATTTTGGTTGCCAGGAAAAGAACCATGTGTGATATTAAATGACATCCTAAAGCCCTGATCACATCTATTGTCTTTGGAGTAAGCAGTATAACTGGTATGCATTTCTGAAGTTTTGCAAGTAATCTTCAGGCTTAACTCTTTAATTCCCACGAGTGACCAAGTCTGAATTTCTCCTTACAATATCAATACAATATCAAGCAATGAGAATAAAGAAAAGTATCAATTAGGAGATGAATTGTTGATCCAATACCAAATTCTCCAAACTAACATCAAAAGAATTGTATGGCAGATAGAAAGGAGATTACTAATCAGATCTTGTTATGAAATGGCTAAAAACTCAACTAAGGAAAATGAGTCAAATTTTCATCACAAATAACCTTGAAGAGTGACACCTTTTGAAAATGTTTGCATCACTTCAACTTCCACCCCCTTGTGGTTGTCTAGTCACCCTGGTAAGCAAGACAAGCGCATCTTGGAGAGCTGTGTGAACTGTCAAGAAAGTTCATGCAAACTAACACACAACAAAACTTCCCATGATAAACGTTTTTTTAACTGCCACAATAAAATGGTGGTTGATGTACACTTTTGACTAACTATTTTGTTCATATATTTATTTAAAATTTATTTTTTATAGTTAGATATTTATTCCCTTCTAGTACATTCATATAATTAGCATTTATTTGCCTCGGGCTAGGTAAAAATTGTTGAATAATCCTTGAGATGAAGTTGAGGGGATTATTCATCAATATTCACTGAGCCTGTGGCAATAATTGTTTTGGTATAATTGCTTAAATGCATATGAATTCTATTGTAAATTTGTTTTGATGTTGGAATCATTGCATACAATTATTTTGATTACTCATAACAACAAGGCAGGCAGTTTCGGCAGGATTTTGACAAGTTTATTTGACTCAATTAGAATAAAGTTCATATCTTTCTTTTGAAAAGTGTCACACCAAACTAAGTAGCATCTTTAGTGCTTATGTCATGTTTATTGTGTCCTGCATATCATTGACAAAACACAAGACAATCATTTGGAAATTTAGAGCCCCTGCTGAACTCACTTTGTGCAAGGTGATTATCACCAGATATAACACAATCCTCTACCAATCAGAGTGCATGCATTTCTATAATCACCCCAGCAACTATACTTATATTATTCACCTGAGTGAAGGTGAAAAATGGTGGATATTTACCCTAATCCCCAAAGCAGCGCGGTAAATATTGAAGTGAATGATTGTTTTAGTTTAAACCACATAAAAACCCTAACTTTGTTAATATAACAAAAAACGGAGTTAAAAAAAAAATTAAGAGGTGAAAACAAATTCACCTTTGTGGTACAGCCCTTATCCTGTTGGCAAATATTTTATGAGTGCCACTGTTACCATGATTGTAAAAGAGAAGGAAAGAGATATTCCATACAATTAATTGTGATCAAGAGGGTTAGAGATAGTTTTTTAGGGTCATTTTTAAAATTAAATGGGTCCCCAATCATCCACAATAAATCTTTTCACAACAATACAAATTGCACACATGCAGAATGATTTTAAACAAGAATTTGAAGGAAAACTAATACAAAATATGCATAAATTTCAACCAGGGTAGAGAATAAATGGCAAATTTGAATCACAAAGTAATTTTCAATAAGGCTCCTCAACTACTAGACATGTACTAAAAACTTACTTTTATGACTTTTACTTGAATGCAAATCACAACATTACCACAATTTTTTTGATCAAGACCCCCTAAACTGTGACATGTACATGAATATCTATCCTAGATGCTCCTGCAGACCCGTCAGTGTTATTAAAATTCCACATGCATTCTTCTCTGTATATTCAAGCCTAGTCATTCAAAGACTGATAATACTATTCAATGGATAAATTGCTATCCAGTATGTAAGTGTCAACAAAATGTACTTCTCTATTTACTGGATCAAAATTAATCCAGTGGATATTCTTATCCACCCTTTCTAACAACTGGGGCCACTTCCAAAATACTAGTCCAATGCATCAATTTGTCTTCAATTGAGAGTGCAGCTTATCATATAAAGAACCTATTTCACGAATGATTGCCCAGCACGTCAGTGTACCTTGTTTGATTTTTTCTTGCCCTTTGTGCATGTCAATTTCAGAGCATGATGTACTTTCATGAAGAAAAAACCATTTCTTATCGAAACAAATACTAAGCGTATTTATAACATGCTCTAAAACTACATGTACTTCAAAATCCCAATTCTTTCTGAATAATGGCGAAGTGTGTATATTACTAATAAGTGATTCTATGTAAATGTATTTATGATGACTGAACAATTTTAAACATCTAAGCAGCAACTTCTGTGTATAATGTGACTGTGTATTCAAATTGGACAAAATGTGCAAGGAAAGCTATTCTTTTCTTAACACTTAAAGTATGCTTAGATGAAAAGCATATTTTTGTATATTTGTACTAAACCAGTGAGAGTATCTTGTGATTAAAGCAAAAATCAAGGACTGCTTAAAATCAAATAGTCCACTATATTATCTGCAAATACCTCAAAGGCAGTCAACTGATAAAAGAACAACAGACATTAATTCAAACAAAAATATATTTCTATACCACTAAATATTCTGTGGTAAATGTTATCATGTAAAAATACTGGATTAGAAAAGAAACTTTAGCTCACCAACTCAAGCTGTTTGGCCAAATCAAGTTTAAACTGGTCTTCCGGTTTCTTTTTTCGATTATCTGAAGACTTTGAAGTAATCTGCTGAAAGAAGACAAACTATTAATAACTCAGCACCTGGAACACTTTGGCTAGACAAAGACCTAAGGTGGAATATTAATTTGAAGGTTTCATGTTACAGCTGTCAAACAGGGAAGGAATTTTAATCTTCCTAAGCGAATATGGCCATGTAAGGAACGTTCACAAGAATGAGGCAAAAAATGCAAGACGCGGCAACATTTAACTCTAGCTAGAAAAACAATTTTCGCCATGCAGGCAAATTTCTGGTAAAAAGTATTTGTTTTGATAGCTCAACGATTGAAACACAAAGTAGACCTGTAATCTCTTCTATATTATAGCGCTCAGTAACACGTTCGCTGTTTGATGGAAAGGGTCAAATATATTGCCACAATGGTCACATCGATACAATAAAGATTCTAAAATACCAAACAAGAAACATGGTAAAAGAACTGCGAGGATGTTCGATTTTCATTCCTGCTTCTGAAATGATGAAATATGGAAATATAAGTAATACCACTTAAGTGATATGAAGATATTATAATTTCGAGCGGAAAAGGCTGTATATTCTGTATCTCCTGACCAACGGAAGAAAACAGACAACCCTTTTACTTAAACGAATCGACTTAATTTAATTGAATTATTATTGCAACGTATTGGCAGTAACTTGGCAGCTACATGTGAACGGCTCGTATGTCCCGAAGTAAACCGAATCTTAAAGCATATGTTTAATCAACCCCAAGGCCGCAATTACACTGAGAATTGAACATTTTTATTTTCATACCTGCGTCTGCTGTGTAGCAGGTTTCCTCTTTTTGATATGGGGTAGCTGTTCACGCTCGCGGTCTTTTAATTTACGACTGTTTCGCCTGTCCACCTCCTTCGTATTGACCTAACCCAACGTCGAAAACGATCGAAATTAAATTCGAAAAGCATTAGAAAGAACTGCTTTGAGGACGGATATTCGAATAAAATTTATCGAAACTGGACGGATTAATAAGGATGATCATTTTAACGACAGCGTTTAGGCAGCCTACCTGAGACGAATTTTCTGACTTGCTGGCTCGTTTAGTGAGATGAGTTGCCGTTAAGCTGATGACAATGGCGGAAAAGATAACACTCTCTACAGACTAACAGGAAAAAAAATACAGCATATTTTAGAAAACAGGGAGGCCCACTTGTGATAAATGAAAGCAAAGGGAAACAATCGTCAACATATTTGGTTCAAGTTAAGAGGAAGGAATGCTCTAGAGTGTAATTAAACATGATCGCCTGTTCCAGTACTTTACCTGTGTGATCAGTGGTACGACTACACATCCGACAACAGACCCGAACACGCAGAAGACCGAGTACTGATCGAAGAACCCTCTTCCAACCGCCATGTTGGCGCATCAACGCTGTGGATGATTCAGATCAAGTGGTCAGATAAACAGTAAACAATGCGTACGTATTTGAAATTCGTCGATGTGATCAAAAGAACGGCCGATCAGAAATGAAAACACTCGTCTGTACACGTTCGTATCTCACAGAATCCACAACTGCCCGCAAATTTGTTTAAAAGAAGTAATGTAGTAAAAAAATGACTTCTTAGTGAATTCAACTGGACAATAATTCGCCTTACTTCGAAAAATATCAAACCAAACCAACTTCCGTAGATTCTGTCTTTCACAAAACCGAAACACGAAACATGAAGCTTTGTGAACGCATATATTAGTGTTTGTGACGTCACATCAGGTGACGGTGGCAGTTGGCGCGCAAAAATATTACAAATACATTTTCGCACTGGTCGCTAGGCAACTCAAAGTCGATTTAGCAGGGACAATGGCCACTTTACAAAAAGTTAGCATAGCATGGTCGGCTGTTTTTTCAATAATTAAAATAGGCAAACCGTTTTTTGCATAAGAAGGAAAACGCAAAGAAAAAATAAAACTTTCGACTCTGTCTCGACGGTTTTTGACAAAGATAAAATGATCTTGTTATCTTATCTAGGTTTGCAGAGACACCAAACCTCTTCACACCAGAAATCTTGTAATAATTTTTGGCATATCTGTCGTATTGAGTGTTTCCTCTCCAAAAAGAATCCCTTGAGCACTCTCAAAAGTCTAAGGCAATTTAAAATTTAAATTGCAATTGAAATCTAATTTTATATATCGGTCATAAATAATGCAAAAACGTCTAGGCTTGAAGAAACCCGAGCACTTGAAGGTTGAAGTGACTTCCCATCGGCCATCACGGCTGACCTTGTCAAATCACAAGTGGGATTACTTTCACATATTGGCGTCGGGCATGGACGATTATCATCGTAAACTTAAAGAAATCTTATTTATCAAAGAATTAAGCCAGCTTAAATTGCTGATGCGTGAAGGATTGTAACCATTTGTATCTTCTGATATACTTGCTATTAAAGATCTGTGTTTTGTTTTCACTTTTATCTATTCTTGGGAACTGACCCCTCCCCCCCCTCCCCCCCCCCCATATAACAAGTAGAAGTATAGGTTAGTAGTTACCTTTGGAAACCTATGTAGACAGCTGCATGTTACATACATGTACACATGATTAACCCTGATATAAATCTAAAAACAACATGATACCAAGTGAAATCTTCAACTGAAATCATTTTAAAAGGAATTGACATTGTTTGCATTAAAATCAACGACCACAATATAATAATATGATTCTGAGAACAGAAGTTCATTCAGTTCCTTTGTCAGGTATACCCAACAGAGCCGTAATTTATTTTTAGCAGGGCGACTTCGGTGACGTTTCAGACAGAAAATTTTCAAAGTTTAACACTTAGGCGCAATTGAAATATTTCGCCAAATCTCAATCTGGGATCAAAACATGAAACAAGCATAAAACACGACAGAAGAATCAACTACCGACGAAAAAAATATCAAAATAGTTCGCAAAACCTAGTCTGCGAGAAAGCTGTCATTAGGGTTGCTACACAAACATCTAGCGCACCTCTTACGAAGTCTGCAAGAGCTAATTTAGTCTTCTTTGTTCTCCAACATGAGGTCTAAGATCCGAAGAGTCTGGCACGAGAAACGCGAAAAGCAACGCCAATCAGGGCTTGCGCGCCTGGCAGCGATTTAGACACGTGTTGGTTGGTTCGCCGAAAATGAGTGCCCCACCCTATTCGGTCCTCCTAGGTTGATCCGGCCACCTTGAGTTGATCCTGAGTTCAATTTTGTCCGGAATAGGGTTGAAAACAATCACAGTTTGTAATACTGAATGGGACCAAATTTGAAAGGTTACGCCACGAGTGTCCGACATAGCATATCATCGTTAATCAAGAGCCAGCAGAGTTTTGGCGGCATTTGAGATTAGCCGTTTCAATTTAAGTCTGTGATGGCTTTATTCATGCCATCAATTTCCTCTCACACGGAAATCCGAGATGAGAAGGGGAAAATAAAGAGCCTTTTACCCTACTTTGTTGTTTGTGAAATTCAAGCTGATAACTAACAGACTGATGGGGCCATGCAAGTTTCATGCTTCCCGCTTCCTGCTTCCTGCTTTTGGAATTCGATAGGTGTAATTGGAGAAGAAATTACAATGAGAGAGAAGGGCGAGATTGTCTACAGGATCGATGTGTAGATGCGGATAAATGGAAGACAAATGCTTGGTACAACAATTACTGGGTTTGTCGCTGCTTTGTCAATGTCGTTGTTTTATATTTAAACTTGAATTTAAATGTCCGTTTCTTCCTGAAAATGAAATGCACTGATCGATGGCCTCAGACGATTGCCATGATCAGAAAGACGTATAGACATCGAAGAAATCGTATCCTTAATTTAAGACATCAAATTACTTATACCTTTTTTAAAATTCTTGAAAATTTCGGACGGTCCTCTTTAGTAACTGCTATTTCTACATTCTTTTTAATAGACTGTCTCACACCTGTTCCATGCCGCGGACAGCACCGGAAACTATTTACGCAGGGAAGTCAATTAAAAATAGTTTCAAAACTAGAAGGTAGATGGTGTTTCGTTTAATAAATAGGCGTTGCCTCGGAATGACAGATTTATTCGATGACAAGAATCGTGATTGACATTAATTCAATAGATTGATTTAAAAGCGTTAGATTATTATGTTTTAAGTCAGTTTTTCAGCAGAATCGAAGTGAGAAAGAAGTTATTTTGTTATCGTTTTTCTGTCTCTAAATCCGCTTACCGGAAGAATCTGCTAACCCGTAAAGTGAGACTGTTGTAACGACCCGCCACAGAAGTAAGTTTATATTGAAGTTTTTTAATTTAGTTACAAGATAAAGACTTGATTTGCGTTTGTTCTAATTGCGAATTATAAATGTATTTCTCTTAGATTGAATAATTATTAAAGCTTGGCTTAATATTATACGGTTTGTAGTGGTCATTTGATCTAACCAGTTCCGAGTAAGGAAACAGATGGACTGGCCGGTAAACAAGGACAAAGGGATTCAGAATCTTAACGTTGCAAATAAGTTTGTTTGAAATGTCATGGAAATGACTAAATGAATTAGCGTATTTCTGTTTTATTCATTTACTAATCTGTTACCATGTTCCAAGACCTAAAAAATAAGGCCTACGCCGTATCTTTTAAAGCGGGGAGTATAGGGAAGGGGGGGCACAAAGGCGAACGCGGGAGCTCTGGGAGGGGGGGGGGCGGGGCAACGGCCGGGCCTATTCACACGGGAAATGTTTATTTGAGCTCCACTAGAATGACGGCAAATGTTTCTTTACAAACTTTCCGCCACGTTTTTATCAACGATCAACGTGAAAATAAAATGGTCATGCCTTCAGCGACTGAACCAGAGAATACAAAACCAAAATCAGACATGAATTTGGGTCGAAATACACAAATTATAAAAATAGCCTTTTTTCCATGTGAGGTTCGCTCACCGAAAAAAAGCCATTTAACTCCTTAACTCCCGAGATCTAATTGTTAATTCTCCCCTCAAGCTGCTACGCCTTTCCTTGTAAATCAGTCATAAGAATTTGGTGTTAGATCAATATAACAATTTCTAACTGATAACTTTGTGCATTCTCATTACTTTTTGCTGGATAATGGCTGGATATTACAGGGAGAAGTTATATGTTCATCACTTCTGGGAGTTATAGGGTAAAGGGACATAAACCTATATCGCCATGAGGTTATAATTGGAACAATTAACATATCACAAGTAACCCTTCATGTCTGTCGTCTATATGCGCGACTACTCTGCCAAGGAAAAAATTACATTTAAATTATGAAATTTTTCTGCATCATATTTTTGGCGATTTTATTCTAATTTCATAAATAATTTTTCCATTGCCAAACGTGAGGTCCCTGCCTCTCTGCGGTTCCTGTCTGAGCGAGAAAGCTAATTCCTTTGAAGCTTGATCGACATAGAAATAATTCAATAGTGAGATATGGCCATTTGATAATTCTTACTATTTTTAAAAATGATTGCATCTGTTTGCCGTTTGCTAATGGCAAAATAATACAGCACTTAATAAAGTAACAGTACATACGTTAAAAGAATTTAAAAACCTAGAGGATAAAAATTATATTGATCGATGGATTAAAGAGCGGTTTTAAGCATTCTTTACATTGTAAGCTACACTAAGCTACATAAAACTTAAAATAACTGAGTTATCTAAATTTTACAATAATAAAAAATGAATCACATTATTAGCAGCCTGCAGAACAGACGGAAAGTTATTTGTGTTTTTCAGGCGAACAAAGACAAGTGCGAAACGAGCGCGGATCACGAACGATGGTGCTTCATCACCAGTACGTGACTAGCGCTTCGCGTTTACTTCCGTTCGCCTAATAAAAGCAAAAGTTATGCCTGTTCGGCACGCTAAATTATTAACACTTTTCTACATTGAATTGAATGTAAATTGAAGTGCACCGGAGAAGCATCAGTGGTTTATCAAGCGCTTACCACGTAACCAAATAGCGGCGACTACTTTTCTATGACCATAATTAATTCAGGCATTCGGCCGATAGACAACTTAGGAAATTCCGCGTTAACCCTTTACACCCTAATATCAGTTTGCATATTCTCTATAATGATCTCTATACATTTTCTGAGATGCTGATGGGGAGAATTTGTTTAACAACCAGGAGTCCCTCGAATTGGTGATCATTGACCATAAATTTTTGATTCAGGGGTGATATTGTAAGGAGAAATTAGATGCTATCCACTCTTAGGATCTAAAGGGTTAACCCAGTATCGGGTCTTACATATCAGAACGGGTCGTCCGTCACAAAACTCTTCTTAATTGACACGTCTGGATACATAGACCGCAAATTTTCGACAAACTCTTTTGATAACTGCGAACAGAAGGAGACATCGAGGAACCGCAACTTTTTGCATTCTTTTAACAACCTACAAGAGAAAGCAACACATCTCACTTTCCGCGACCTCGTGTTTCGCCTAAAACAGAGCGCACCAGCAACAACACATTCGCAACTAACATTTTTGTCACAAGTATTCTCCACAAAACACCATCGTGATGATAGAGGAGTTGACAATTGAGTAGGGAAAGCCACGTAATCTGCGACTGTATTGTTTTGTTTCAATTCGCTCTGTGATAGGTCGAGGAAATTCGCGCTTCCTTGCTCTTAACTTATCAGATATAATCGCGACTTGGTCTCTTGCGTTCTCCTGCGCAGCAGGCTGTTTTTTGTTACTGTTATTTTGGGTGTCGTTTGCTAGTTGTGACCTTTTCTTAGTTTTTATTGGTCATTGAGATAAATTTGGTAATGATTTCATTACAACTGAGAATGATTCTCCACGCACATTTACCACTTCCATTCCCGCGGAAGTCGTAGAAAAAATATGAATATGGCACCTATCCAAATTGCTCTGCTATCGGTGAACCTCAAGTTTCCAAAACAGGAAACGAGGGAATTTCGTGCTTCCCTGTTTCGATTTCGAACTATTCGGGGTATCGAACAGGAATACGAAAATGGAAGAGAAGGAAAGGCGGAAACATTCTAGTTTCATGTCAACGGACGCTGTAAGAAAAAAAAAAGTTACCTAGTAATAGAATGGGGACGAATGAGACCAGTTCCCAGCACATCTACTTGTTCTAAGTCAGGGCAGTTATTTGCTAACGCATTTATGACATCGTCACTGACTGACCTGAAAACATGAAAATCGTTGAGTTAAAAAATTTGCAATGTAATCAAAGGAGCTTCGCCATTAGACGAAACCATTACACTGTAAAACGCGTAATCACTTTCTTGTCTGTCAAATGAAAGCTCAGTCATTTTGCTTGTGATTCTCAACCTCACTAAATTCAATAATCCGTTGATAGAACTAAAGACGTCTTTCAAAAATTCCGTTTAATTAGAACAAGGAACCAGCAAAATTAGTAGACGACAATTCGAAGTTATGTTTGGGTCTGTTTAGAAAAAATTACTTCCGTATCTGAAATCCTTTGGAAAATATTTCCTTACAGCTTCCTTTAAGACGTTCTTAAATCATTTTCGTAAGTAGGGAAAAATATCAAGAAACAAGGACATTACAAGAAAAACAAAAAGATCAATGGAAAATAAAACAAAGAAAACAGAGCGAAACAAATAACTAAACAACACATCTGAATAACGAAAGTCAATTTAAATTACCTCAGCGCTGTAAGAAACAACTTTTTCAGTTTCCTACATTTAGAGGTCAAGCAAGATATACATTCCGCCGCGTTTGTCACTGTGGAGCTACAGAAGAGAAAAAAAAATTGTCAAAAGAAGAAAAGTACATTCGAACCTGTATTAAGCACGCTCAGTTGTCGAAGTCCCGCAATGACCTTCTCTTAAGTACTGTAATTTTCACCTCTATGAGCGGTCACCTCCCACCCATGACTGAGTCCCAAAGGTCTCCCTGTATTGTCTTCCATTTGTATTGAACGGTCACTTAAAGAGGAACCAGTCAAATAATACTAAGAATAATCTTTCAGGTCAAATTTATTCAATGTTTATCTTCCAGAATCAATGTAAGTACTTTGAGTTCAAATGTCGTGAACGCATTGCAGATTATTTTTCTTCTTAGGACTGTAACGACAAAAAGGCTTTTTATCGCGTTTGACTCCTATTACGTGAAACCTGTATTAAGAGTGGGTGACCGCTGAATACAGGTTCGACGGTAGTAATAAATGCCCACTGACACTTCTGAATGGATTTTTTACGATTGTACCAGTCAGAACTACAAGGACTACAGGACTTCAAAGAAGGTGGCCTCTGTGAAACCCAATCGTTTATCTTGCTTACCATGATAGAAAACTAAGTAGAACTCCCTCTCACTTCCCCTGAGGGGGAGAGGAGAGGGTACAGTAATGGGACATTTATGGAATAAGTGTGTGTCATTGTGATGAGGAACATTTTTTTAAAAAAGCATTTTAGTCTGGCAAAGAGAAATTGAAAATCAGAGGAGACACAAATTAAGTTTTGAAAGAAATTCTCCTTAAACTCGAAAAATTAATGAGAGACGAACTACCATCGCACCTTTCAAACATAAAACGCGAATTTGTTCATCTACAACTGCTTGCTAATAAATGGATTAAGCACTTTTCGAGCAAAAGTTGACGAGGCCAAAACCTACCGCTGACTGAAAAAACTTTTTTTTTTTAATTAATGAATAAACGGGGTACGTTCATAAAAAAAAAACTTTGGTGCTGCGTCGGCAGGGTATAATAAGATAATCTGGTTTTAACAACTGAGTTGATAATGTAAATTGGCCACCGTAAAGAGTTTCTAAAGCTGACGTTCCGAGCGATAGCCCTTCGTCAGAGTGATAGTCTTTCAAATCAGCACTCTCAATTCCCGCGGTATCAATGGACACTTTTCATTCAAATACTACTCTATACTTGTGTTATTTATGTTACCACGTTCCCATCAATAACGTAGCTCCATCTTTCTGTATATAAACTACATACAACCCAAAATTCCTCTCTTCGCTCTGACGAAGGGCTGACGCTCGAAGTGTCAACTTTAGAAAGTCTTTTCGGGAGCCAATTTACATTATCAACTCAGTTAATTTATAATGGTTACTGAACTGAGTGGAATGCAATTTGGGCTGAAATCATACCTGTGATTTCAAAATCGATCAAGCGCGCAGCGCGAGTTCGATTTGAAATCACAAGTATGATTTCCTACCAAAATTGCAAGACACGAGGTTCAATTACCACTTTATTACATCCATTTCAAAATCGCCCAAATACAGGACTGGGTCACTTCAAATATTTTATTGATGCAGTACTGAGCCGGTTTGAAATTAAATTCATCCCTTTTTTGGGGGGGGGAATAACAGTTTTGGAAACAAAAGTAGCAAAATTTGCCATATGATACTCTTTGTCTATCATTTTCATGCAATTTGATTGGTTACTTTAAACAAGCCTTGAAATCTGATTGTTTTTTTTTTTTAGTGTGGCCTGCTCATTGGCTGGGGAAAAGATGGGATTTAAAGCAATAATGGTGCAATTCGTGAATAAATCGCACCAATTAGAGCCAATCAGATTACAGGGACCACCAATGATTTCAAAATGTGTGTAATAATATTCTTAAACAGACCATCTTGAACTGGACCGGGTTGTTCGAAGCTGGCTTAGGACAACCCAGGATTAGTGTGAAATTGGATTTCAGATCTGAAAGCTTTAAAAGAAAATTCAGTACAATTTTTTTTGGCCATAAAAGGCTTTTAAACGAAGGAATAAAGAAAACCGGATTAAAATTTAACCTTGGCTAATCGGTCTTCGAACGACTGGGCCCTTAGAAGGAAACACATTTGGCCAAGACGGTCCCTATAAAGCCAAGAAAAGGTATATTTTACTCACCACCATCCCACATCAAGTTCTTCCAGTAGAGTACAGCCGTCAGCTAATGACTTGATACCGTCATCTGTAAGACTTTTGTTCCTCCACAAATCAAGAGATACTAATCCTCTAAGAAAGGGAAAAGAAAGGGATAAGTTTACCCACTGAAACTACGATCCTAGACGAAATAAATTGAACACTTGGAAGACACGTCACTATCATTTGGATATATATATAAATATAAACCAGAAACTAGATTTGGTATCGAAGTTTTTAATACTTTAGATTCGTCACTATGGTGATAAGTTGATCTTACTTGCAGTATTCACTGAGTAACTGCATGATGGTGTCACATTCCGTAACGTGTTGACAGTCACCGAGATTCAAATGCTGAAGATTACTAAAAGACCTGCAGTAATATGACACAAAAGATTGAACATTATTAATATACATCCCACCAATATAACGTTTATCGGTCCAAAGCAAGATTGAGGAACGAGACCGCTTTCCCCAACTCCGCAAACAAATTTGGCGTTCTTTCGTTGTACGCTTGTTAGCCACGAAGGGGTATTTCTTCAAATGTGGTCTGCTGCACGGCTCCACTGTCGTCGTTAGCCAATTTCTTTTATTGTTTGCACGGTAGCTTGAGCACGGAGGTTCGTGAGACCGACGAAAAATACTTATTTTTTAACCCTATAGCGCTTTCAACATATTTTTGGTTTGTACCGTTCGAATGAAAATGCTAAAATGAAGACACTCTAGTTGATTTCTTTATGTCAGAGCACATTGGAAGTAGTAGCCGCTACGTCTTAATGTCTCAAAAAACAAAAACAAAGACAAAAACGAAACAAAGGCATATACACCACCTGAAGACATCGATCAAATCGTCGAAACGTTCACAAAAAGATTAAAACTGATATTGTCAAAACATTTTTCAGGAATGCACCATAAACCAAACAAACAAACAAACCTAAAAACTAAACAGTGGTGTATAATTGTGGGGGGACTGCCAGTGAGACAAGAAGTCTTTGCCATGATAATCAATGCTAGTACCTACTGAATCAATTGTTTCAGCAGAAGATCCTTGACGGGAACTCGGTAAAGATTGATTCGTTTCATTTTTTTCAAGTTTGCAAGCTCATGAAGCCCATATTCACTGAGTAACGACTCTGAACTGCAGGACTGGAGGTCAAGTTCTGTGGAGACAGAACAAAAAAAGGCGTCAGTTGTGTAAAGAGCATGAAGAGTACATTTATTTCGGGCAACTAGATTCCTCCGTTATCTCGTACTGCCCCATTCCCTTAGCAGTTCGAGTGAGCGGAGGTTCTTCTGTTAGTATTTGTATGATCAGTTTGACTGAGCTAAAATGTTTTTAGCAAACCAAAACATAAGATTTATGTGAAAGTTTGTTTCTCCTAAAAAATGTAGGCTAGACTAATAGCAGCGCCTCGTTATCAGCGAAATCCATCGCTGTGAGCGCGCCGCAAGGGACTCTGGGAGTGAGGCTACTTGTGAGGCTACGCGGTACGCAAGAGGGACTGCTCGTATTCTAAATTTAGTATATATATATTTTTTTTGCGTTCACTATCTGGATTCCATGTCAACCTCTAAATTCTCCACCAAATTTGTTCCTTTTTTATTTTTCTTTCAATTTAGGGCCTTTTTCAATCTTATTAAATCAATATTTTGTGGTCCCTCTCTAGAAAAGGTACATTTGTTGTTGCTGCCTTTTTTTATTGCGTGACCTACTTCTTGCATATTAAAGTTATACTTTCAACCGAGAAGAAAAGAAACAGAAAAATGATACAATTTTCAAGAGGAACAAACCTTCCAAATTGGGACAAAACTTGCTTATGGTTTTAATCACTTCACCGTCCACAAACTGACAGCAACTTAGTCTTAAACACAAAAGGTTACTTCCACACTTCCGCAGAAATCTGTGAAAAGAAACGCAGTTGAGCTTCTTAAAAGGAACCTTCATTTCTATCATTCTTTATTCCACTCGACTATTAACTTTGATACATTGGAAAATAATTGCAACATAAGAAAGGCAGGGTAAATCCAGGATTTGTGATTGGACGGTCAGAACAAGAGCCAAAGGACAAATACGATACCTAGAAATTCCATTATTATTATTATTATTATTATTATTTGTGATTGGACGGTCAGAACAAGAGCCAAAGGACAAATACGATACCTAGAAATTCCATGGCGGGTAACAGCGTCATAAGGTCCTAACCAGGACATGTCTAACTTTTCTGTGGAAGCACAACAAATCCGAAGATGATCCAATGTTTCATCTGTTATCTGGAGAGGGCAGAAAGACGCAAGGATATCAGCTTGTGATTCAAACTTACTGATTTAACCCTTTAGAAACATGAAGCCAGAACAGATTGAATAGGGGAAAATGAAAATATAATAGTCTTATAAAATATCGGCATTAACAAATGCCCTGTTATGCCTGATCAGGTTGAAATCCTCTTCTCAACTTGCCATGGCATCAATGAAAGTTTTCACAAACACACCCAATTTTCTCTTTAAATGCAAGCACACCTATAGTACCGCTCAACACTAAGTTGACAGTTCCTCGAAACTCGATTCTCGATCCTCAATTTTCGAAAACTTCGCGGATCAAGGCTCGAGTGGAGTTTCGAGACGTTCGAGTCGAGTATGAAGACGCTTGTAAGTCATTTCGAGCGTCTCCAAACGAGGAAACAAGGAATTTTTGCGCGATTAATTTTCACAGGACTTGAAGCTTCTCACCTTTTCTAGTATTCACAGGATAGAGAATGGATTTTTATTTTGCTGACGCGGCAAAACTTTGTTCGAAGTAGTTCAGATGTTTTTGACAATAACCTGGCGAATAATTATCCTGTTTACGTGACCCTCTTCGTTGCCTCGACCGAACGTTGTTAATTTTACAGGGTTTCCAAGTTTTGTTAAACTAAGTTTGACTTATGTACGATTAAAGCTTAAAGCCCTGTCAACTGGTCATGATTTATTCACAGTTGATGATAGCTGACGATAGTTTTAACTCTCCTTCACTATCCTAAGGAAATAAAAAACACGCCGATAATAGAGCGCTATTTCTCTGAACATTTATAATAGACTATCATGTTTGCGTTCAAACGCTTCATGATGGTTGATAATAGCTGCCAAAATCACGCAGTGAGACCGCGTAATTGTTGACAAATGTGGCGCGCGACGAGGTCAGCAATTTCGGTGGTATTTGAAATTCTAACCAAGAAGATGCGGGTTGAAGATACTGAAGCCTACCAGGACATGACAAGAATAAACTACGAGACATAACACGAAATTTTGACGGCTATTTAAATCATCTCACCATTTTCCATTTCGGTTTGAACCCGTTTTTGGCAAACTGCTGCCGCAAAACTATCATTCTTTATCATCTGCTCGTTCAAACGGTAAAAACTATCATCAACTACCATGTCAAATTTGAATATGTTCAAACTACATGATAGTCGATGATGGTGCATGATAGTTCGTGTTCAAACGCGTGTGATAGTCGAAACTATCATCAACTATCATGACCGTTTTAACGGGGCTTAAATTTTAAACTACAGACACTCTATTGTTTGAACAAAACTAAACTCGAATAAGAAATGCAACAATTACCTGGTTCCAGTAGGGCTTCAAATCCAATTCTTTGTACCAAACAGGGTCAAAGCAATGTACAGAAAACAATCTGCAGGTCAAAATTACAAATTCATTCATTTCAACCAAATTAATCAGAAACATGGACAAAGAAACATGGGAGAAGTCTGGTTACAGTAATCAAGGCTGTCTTTGTTGTAAGGAAAAACGTTTTTCGATATCAAGACGTTGAGCCTTTGTAGTAAGCATGTTTCAAAAGACAAAAATCTGAGCTCACCTTGGGGATTTAAACCCAGGCAATTTCGATTTTGTTGCTGGATGCTTCATGAAATAGTTGCAGAAAAGGCGATGAAGAACTTCGCAAAAAAACTGATCTTACTGTATCAATGAAGACGTTATTTGTGCACTTCCAAATGCACCATACTATTGCTTGGGTCATGTTTTATACTTTTTACTAGTAACAAAAATATTCCAACGTTGTTTCCTATTTCCATTCATGTATCCCTGTGTCTGTCTCTCTAGCTCCCCCACCACCCCTCCCCTCCCCATTCACTCCTTTCCTTCCTCACTCCCTCCGATAAAACACAGTCTTTCCGAATATGGGCTCTCGACGTCTCATAACATGGCCTGTGCTGCTGAATCTAGAAGCTATGTCATGCTCTGTTCAGCTTGTAATGATATATATGAAAAATTAGGCGCGTCTGATTGGCTAAAAACGAGTGTATTTTCATGTAACACGAATGCAAAGTTTTAACTCGAGTGCAAATTACAAATAGCGTCCGTGCGCTGTCAAAATTTCGTCAGTCTTGACTTCTTTAAGGCTTTTTTCTCATGTGAATTAATAACAAGTAACAACATGATTTCTCTTACTCAAAATCATTTGTTATCTCGCACTCAAAATCATGTTATTACTAATATAAGTTTATCATGAACAATCTATATTAATCTTCACCATCTTACTCAATCTTTCTTCTTTTATTTACCTTTTATATTTTGGTGTTTGTCTACAGTGGATATGATTATTTCAAAGTTGCTCTAGCAAATTTCTAGGCAATTCTCTAAGAGACTCTAACATCAATATTAAGCACTCTTCTCCATACATTTCGTATGGTGTTGATAAAGGAAATTTCGGAAACTGTACCATCTGCCATGGCATAAAAAAAGGAAGAAATTTAGACACAATCTGAGTCAACTGCTACTATCAATTAGGAGGACCTTACCTACATGTAAATGCAGCTCTGATTAAGTCTATCAGTTCCAAGAATGAGAAGATATAGTGAATCAGTTCGTCCTATAGAGAAAGATAGGGATACACTGAATTTATATTGAGTGGAACATACATTTTAAAGAATAAATTCAATCTTAAACACTGTACTTCTTTTATACAGAAAATGAGGGAAACTTGGAAGTTGGGTTGTAGTGGATCTACTAACCACAGGGTGCCTGCTTAATGGGAAGTCTGCCTTACAACCAACATGTACTTATTTATGAAATCAAGGACCAGGACCTAACTGTTTGAAGAAAGAATAATGCTATCCAATGAAAAAATCGCTATCCAGCAGATAAGTGTCTTCAAAACATACGTGCAATCCACCAGACAGAGATTTATCCACTGGATAGCATTACCTACCCTTTGAGGAACCAGGTCTGGATGGGAAAATATTTGGCTCAAGCAAATGTTTTTTATTTTACCATTCAGCCTAACTTAACTCGCTTGACAAGCAATTCTTTTATCTAGCTACACTCTTTCTATTTTTTCCATTCATCCTCCATTTTTCATCCCACAGGAACATAGGGCTGTTTTTTCCAGCCCTGCACCATGGTTTACTGCCCTAATAAAAGGATTCTTCTCTATGCCTTAAAACAAAAGCATGTGCATGCTAAGGGCCATATGATTAACAGTAATTATATAACAGAGATGGCAAAAAACTTACCGGTAAAATATCAAAGTATCCATTGTTTCCTAACTCTCCCTGACTGCCATTTTTATTATCTTTCTCACCAGACTTGACAGACAGTTGAGCAAACAAGTTTGTTGTTATAGACACCTGTGCATCATCACCTTTTGCTAAACTTTTCAATTCTTTATGCTGAAAGTCATTGCTAGTTGCTGTTCCATACAAAATAACGGCATCAAGTTCAGTGTAATAGCTGAGATGACTTTGATTGAACTCCAACCGAATTAATCTGAAATTAATACAAAATTGTCATTTCCGTATTTATTAGGCTAGAAGCCACAACCCCAAACTTTGTACGTGTAGACTCAGCATAATGAGAACCAAAAATAAATCAAAAATACCTATAAGCCAAGACCCATTCATTATTACAAGACTGAATTGTTAACTAAAGGAAAACCTAACATTTTCTGAAAAAAACCACATTGATTCTCATAAATGAGGCTTTGACAATAACACACATGCATGTATACAAGAGGTGATTTAATATGCAAAGGGCAAAAAAATCTTCTCTCAGAAAACACACGCAAATTAATAAATATTACCCATAACTAACTATTCAATTGAAAGATAACAAATCATAACTCAGATGAAATAATGTGATCCAAAATATCAATTTGAAACTAACTGTGTTGTTGAGTGGCATCACCAGTACCTACACATTCGTAGGATCTATCAACAATCTCATGTTCTCAATCATTTATTTCAAAATAGCTGTTAGTGGATTAAGGCAACATCTAAAGGCAAAAGAATTCAGCAAGGATCCTGAGTTTAAAAGTGTCCCTTGTCAGCCTTCACACCAAAACAACAATTGCATATTGTGTTTCTTTACTTTAGCTTGGCTTATAAGTAAATACATCCTGATTTAGTAGAGTTTCCATGCACTAGAAAAAAATTTTTTCCAAAACTTTTGGCTATAAGCTGAGACCCTCTCTAGAGCCCAAATTTTAATTCACTTCAGTTTTAATTTGTGTAAAAAATCGCTCAGCTTATAGTCAAATAAATATGGTATATGCAATTACAGTGTCCTCCTTCTGACAAACATGTCTGCTTTTAGCTGAAATTTAAATAAGCACCCACACACTTAATTGAAGAAATATGGTATTCCACTCCCCCTACATTCATATAATTATCCAGATTTTATAATGGCATGTGAATAATTTCAAAAATTACCATTTTAAGTTGCATGTTTGGCATTTCCAATTTTTTTCAATCCAAAAGTGCATAACAGCTTTATAAGTTGATCCTAAGTCCCATATAATTAATATATGCTATTGACATCTGACACACAGAAATTAATGTCACAGAACATCAGAGACATATACAGTGTAACACAGAAATATTAAAACTCTTTCATATAGATTAAATGCTTTTCAAAGTAGCACACAATTTAAGCTTGTTTGCTCGATTTTCTGGGTTTCTTTTGCTAAAATTTGAATCAAACTTGTTGTGTTTAAGCAAAGAAAAACATTTTAAAACAATGTGAAAAAACTTTTATCCCTATTTGCAATCAACACCACAAAACTGAACTGTTGCTTAGTCCTTGAAATAACCGCTTAGTATGAAAACATCTGATTCAGTGTATGATTCAGTATGTCGTTATATATATATGTCTTACTGATTTGTCCAACTTTCAGATATTCCACACTCTGCGAACACATCAAGCACTATACCACAAGGATAGACTATAATCAAGATTTATATATATATATGTAGCTTTAACATCCTCCCCTTCCTTGTCTGGCTGGGGTGGGAAATTAGAACAGGCAGTGCCACATTAATCTTCTAATAATTATGGAAGTGTTCAAATGCAAAGAGTTCACTTTTGCAAGTGAATGGCTCAGAAGAAAAGGTCTTAGTACTTCAGTTTTATCTCTTTTAACCTTGTTAAGCAAAACTATTCACCACCACCCCAAACCAATCTTCAAAAGTTTAGGTTCAAATGGCAAGGGGATTTCCATGGGGGGGGGGGGGGGGAAGAGATAATTATGATAAAACTTTGAATTGATTGGCACATAAACTTCACCTTGCTTTTGAACTTGTAAACTTTTAAATGAAATAGACAATCAGTTGCATGAGGCAGTGTTACTTCTCATGCACTGACTGAAGATGTAATCTTACTTTGTAGGATGATTTAGTCTTTTGAGGGGTGGGGTAAATTTTCTAGCTCGAGCTGGACAATCTTGAGGAGCTCCACACCACAGAGTTCTCCATCTACAAAGAAAAGTAATATCCTCACAAAGTTATTCATGAAGACTGAGACTAATGTACAGGAGATCCCCATGTATTGCACTTGAATAAGAACAATAAAACACTAAATCTAGACAACAAAAAGACTGCGTGAACCTTTTCCAATAGCAATTGACAATTAACTTTAAGGTGATTCATGCTTTCCACAGAGAACTGCTTATAAAACATGGAATAAAACATTATGTTGAATTAACTGAAGAGTCTTTGCACTTAAGAGGACTATAAATGTTCCCTAGAGAGCACTAACCTGGGTTTTTTTGACTTTGAAAAAGAGCTAACAGACTCCAGGGCCAAGACGCCAACCACTGCTCCAGGATTGTAGGTTTCAAGAATCTCAATCTTAGTGGGGTATACAGACTCTTCAAATTGAAGATCTAAAATAAAAGTAGGTTATTGACAGATGTCATTCTAAAAAATGACTGTTCAATAAATATTACTTTCCTCTAGCATCTTAAATTTCAATATACAGTAAGCGAAATAAAGATATTTTATGTTGAACAGGTTTTCATTTTACAGATTACAGACTTTCATTTTGTTTCCATTTGTTTTCCAAATTGTGGTACACTTTTAAGCTACAAGTGGTGTTGCATTTGTGTAGACTGCATAGCAGATATCACTTTTTTTGTTTGTTTTTCATTCCTCTAGTGGCTTAGCAACTTGCTCAGGTGTTCCCCTTCAAGACTGCCAGCTAAGCAGACTGTTATTATCACCTTGCATGAAATATCCCCTAATCATTCCACAAAGCTTTCAAGCTAATGCTATAATAGTGTATAATTTTGAATTCAAGATGATTATCAATAATTCATAATGCATGCCATACTGTGTACATAATCTTTTAAGATTTAATGAAAATGGCACATTTTGCACAACTCTTTGTTTAATGTTACATGGCTCCTCATGGTGATACTCCCATAAGTGTCTCTCTCAGAAATAATTTGATCACTACACTATATGCAGACAATGAAAATATTGGACATGAAAGGACATTCTCTCTGGATCATGTGCACTTCAGGCATCTATCAGCTGAGTATCAAATGATACTATTGGTTGACATGGCAACCCAGTGTTGGTCAATATATTGGCTGATACTCAATAGACATGTCAACCAACTGTCAGTCACCATGTGATTCATGTAGGCAGACTGTTGGTTGAGACTTGGTTGGTATATCATTCAACACTCAGCCAACACCTTGACCATCACATTGTGATCAACAGTTAACAGCATTTTAGTTGAGCTTTATGGTGCACAGGTGGACTGTTGGTGTTATATGCACCTTAATAAAACATGGCAACCAATGTTTTGGAATTGGCCACCGCTATAAAATATTAAGGAGCCAACTGGCTACTGAAAGAAAAAGATTAATTTTATGCCTTGTGATAAGGTGATCAAGTTTCAGCCAATGAACTGATTGCTGGTTGACATGTAGACCAATGGAATTGACCAAATCTTGATGCACAGATGCCTCAAGTACGCTTGACCCCTTTCTCTTACACATGTGTATTTTCTTACATGCGCTTATCAGCACCAACACATTGGCAAACTTGGACAACTGGAATACCTAATTAGCAGTTCGATTTTAACCCATCATAAAAAAATGTGTTGATTATGCTGTTCTTCATCAACCACAAAATTATATTTCCTACCAACAAAATCCTCACTGTTGAGTTTTCTTCTTGACTTGTCAATAGGGGCTCGGAATGATGGTGACATTTCCCACCACGGTCCATAAGATCTCTGGAAAAAAGAAAGATCTCCTGTAATGATCGGTTGATAATATTTACATTAAATGGATCCAACTTTAGTTAGTCTAACTTCAAGTGATTATTTTTAATATCTTTAGAGTAATTGAGAATCAAAATTGACAGTTATGAAAGTTTTATGCACCTAGATTGTGGCCTTCAGAACATCACTCATTCACTACACAGCTTTATTTTTTTTTCAGACGGCATGGTAACAAATCCTGCAATCTAATTGGTTCTTTACCTGGTCAGTATTTTACTATCTCTGCCCACGGGCCACAATAAAGCTTTTGTGAGTTGTCGATTACATTCCTACTTTCATTGCCATTTTTCATAAATACAGTATATCTCGTTTTTCTGGCTGGGCAGTATTTTTAAGCAAAGATGTTGGTCACTACCTCAAGCTGAGAAATAACTTATTAATCCTCTCTTTTCGCTCTCTTGAATCACTTTGGTTGACAGAAAAATATTGGATTCAGAATGAATTTGTATAAGCAATAGTGTCATTATGTGACAAGCGGCCTAAAAACCATCTGCAATTAATTTTAATCATTCAAAAATAGTACCTAGAAAGTTAAAATGTGAGGTATTTGGTTACGATGGAACTTTCATTAATTTAATATCTGAATTTTCTCAAATAATTTGTTTGTAGTGAAAGAGTGAGTGAAGTTTTAATTTCAGTTTTACAACAAATATATGCTCTATGTGAGTCTTTCCAAGTCCGTTCAGTTTGGACATTTGTATCGTAAATTGCACAAAAGAAACTGAAGGAATTCAATGAAAAAAGGCTGCATTAAATCTCGTGTTTTGTTCGAGTGTATCATTTGAATTTAGTTTTTGTGGAGGAAAGACCAGATTTACACACGCCATTACAGCAAACAAACTCACAACTTCAAAATAAAAAATGTGAATTTACTCACAATTACTTTCCTTGCTGTTTCCTTAATGAACAGAGGTAAATCTTTGTTCATGAATTAATTGTAAATGAGAGTGAATACTTTCCATTAGATCATAGGCTGTTTTTGAAGAAAACAGTGTCATGACAGTCCTTGCCAAACTAGTTTCCTTGTTTTTCAAAAGTGTATATGCGCTTTTTTTTCTTACGCACTCTCTAATCGAAAGATGTCAGATTGTGTCAGATACTTGTAAAAATAATGTTTCAAAGTTCGTTTGGAAGCCTTTTAAATCACCTTTATCATTACACAAATGAAAATGTTTCGGTGAAGCATTTCTCTTTAATTTGCATCACCTCTACTTTAACTACCATTTCCTTGCTCAAAAATTGTTCAGTTTATGGAAGGTCTTGCCGTATTTGCAGCCCTAAATCATTCGGGTCCTTTCGGAAAGAATTTCGTTAAGTTTAATAATATATATATATATATGTTATTTACTGACAAAGTGTCAGTCCGTATGGTGAAAAACTGTGACCTCGGTCTTGAAAATGCTGCCCGAGGCCATAGCCGGCAAATAACATATATGCCTCCAGTCCAAAACTGTATCTTTAGCTCCACATTTTAATCAATTGGACTTAATTACTACTTCAAACTTTAAGGGTCGATCATTCCTACATTTCAAACACACTGAAACTTGTTATGTTGTCGAGTTTTCATCTTTTGGTGGCTTACAATATATGTTTAGTCAGCTGTAGAGGTGTGTAGTTGAACATATCTTACCAAAACAAATGCTTGGGTGAAATCGCCATAGTTCGGGTAGTTGTAAAATTTCCCAGCTAAATTCGCAGCTGTATAGCTTTTCGATTTGTCTGATCCGTATTGGCTCGAAAAGAAAACAACTTTTTCCACAACTTGTTTGATCTCTTTAGACATGTTTACAGCGATTCCAAACTTCCAAACACCGCCATATTTATACTGCAATGAGGCTAGGTTGCTCAGAGCTGGCCAGGCTACTGAGCCTTCTGGTTTCAAGGACTTTTTCCGGTTTTCCGACGCTCACATCAAATGGGGAGGTTGAGTAATCTTAAAATGTTATTTACCTTTCTTGCATCCCGTTTAGAGAGATTATAGGTGGTTTTGCGACACAGTCATTCACTCAAATCTCATCGTCGGAGGACATCTCAATCAAAGAAATTTGTAATGTGGGTAAAAACTTCAACTTGTGCCAGATGGTTGCACCTTCGGGATTGAAATCATTCAGGAATCTCGCGAACGGTAGCAATATTTATACGTGGCATCCATCCCCTGCTGTCTAAACATTAGTCATCCAAACAAAATCTTTAGTTTTCAGCATGTCGTCCAAGAGGATCTTCAACATAATAGTTGTGACATCAACGTTTTGGTTCTCCGTTACTGTATTAGTGCTGATGTTCAACAGTGAGGTAACACGCGAATCACTAACGATGCTCAACGCGCCGGTAGTTTTAGACAGTGATAAACATCACTACATGAAAGGAGCTGGTGTAAATCCTTTACGTCCTGTCGACCATCAAAAGCACATTAAATACCCTTGGGAAAAGGATTCTTCTGAAAAACCGGCGGCCAAAGACGGCCTTTTGTCTAGCGCTGCCAAAGCAGTGAATGTTTTGGCGGGGGTTCTTCCAAAAAACAGTGGTTCAAGAACTCGAGAAGTTTACGACGCGAGCATAGCAAAACGCACGAATCCTGGTGGTCTCGGAGAAGGAGGCAAACCGGCTTACTTAATGTCCGACGAGGACAAAAAACTTGCGGAACAACATTTTGGCGACCATTCATTCAACTGGGTACTTAGCGACAAGATTTCGTTGGACAGGACCTTAGAGGACGTGAGAGGAGACCGGTAAGCTTCAAGTGCTCTATCTAAAACATACTTATATGTTCGTTTGCGTTAAAGAAGTTCATCTACACCAATGATATTAATTGAATGTTTGATATTCTCGTCATCTGCTTCTCTGAAGCTCAGCTCAGGTTTCAGAAAACCGTTTTTTAACCGGACACTTCCGGTGCGCGGAATTACATGCCTACATTCATCTTGGCTGAGCTTTAGCGATAGTAACTTTTTTAAAATTACAGTTCAAAATTTTCGTTTCAATAAGAATGTTGCATGTAGTAGCCAAATGCACCTCTCACTTTGTTTTTAACTCTGTTAATTTCTGATTAGGTTAGATTTTTTAAAAGCTTTAATTATTTTTCGTCCACAAGTAAGATTAGAGGTGTGGATCATCAATTCAGATTTTCCTTAAGGAAGACTCAGCTAATTTGATGTAGTATGTTGTAATAATTATTGGTCGTCATGAGTGGTTAGGATAAACATCAGAATTATTATTTCACTCTTTTTGGCACTTTATTATTTTGTCAATCTTCATAATTATGAATTTGAATTTTTGAAGTTCTGAATTTATCAATTTGAGCATCACGTTTTTCACTAAACTCCTACTAAAACTCGTTTAGGCAGTCTGTGAAATAAAAACCGGAATATATTAATCTCCATGTGAGGGTTTGTTCATGTTAAAGCTGATATTTGCCGTAAATAATTTATTGTGCTTAGTGTGGAAAAATATTGCTTTGTCTCCAGTTTATATCAAACAATGTCTGTATGATTAAGTCCAACTATTTTTCCTTCCCCGTAGGATAGTTATTTTTCTAACTTTTATTTGAAAGGAATGTTGGCAGGTGCAATATCGAATTTGTCGGCTAGAACCCTAGGTCACATTTAAAACATGGATGTTGAGAAACTTCTGAATACTACCCATGGTATCATTGTAATATTCTGTGACTATAAAAATAATCATCTCTCTGCAGGAATAATTGTGCAGGCTAGTGTAAACTTAAACATTGTAACTCTTAATTCTCCCAACAGTATTTATGTCCAATGTTCAACTTAGGCAGTTTTTAGTTTCTGTTTTGTTATTTGTGTATAGAGTTTATGGTAAAATTTGTTCTGGAGTATCACTAAGCCTTTACATTCTCAAGATTAAATTAGATATCATTTTTCTGCACTGTCTGAGAATTTTCCGTTTTATCTAACAGTATCCTCAGTGGAAATTTAGTTCAATTGTTCTGGAGTATCAATAACCCTTAACACTCTCATGCTTTAGATATCATTTTTCTGCAATGTCTGAGAATTTCCTGTTTGATGAAACACTATCCTTAGTAGAAATTTAGTTCAATTTGATCTGTAATTTGTGATGACTAGTCACAGAATTCAAAGCATCTAGAATTCAAAATTTTGTCAAATCCAATATCCACAAGGTACAAATTGTAGGTGTCATTCCCTGCTTCTTTCAACTTGAGCTTTATTGTTGAGAAAATGTTAATTTTACTTTCAATTAACACAAAGCTTAACAAATCTAAGAGGAAAGTCATTTCTGAGAAAAATTATGAATTTTAAATTAAAAACTTAAAATTTATTTTAAAATAATTGTGTAATTTTTCCCATGTCATGATTTCAAAGAGAGAGACTATAATTTACATGTGATTATAACCTTCTGTTGTTCTTTACAAGTTTTTTTTAATCTTGTTTTAAAGTTTTTTTAATAAAAAATCTTTTGTTTTTATGAAATAGCAGGAATAATTCTCTTTTGCAATGGTACAAAGAATCAAAGAACCAAAAAATTATTTTCATTTGAAATTTTTTTTTTCCAATGAGGCATTGGCAAATCATGTCAGATCAACGAAAGTTGTTTGTTCAGCTGAAAAGATGAACTCAGTGATCAATGTGAATTTGAGACAGAATGATGAGAAAAGAACATTTCTTTGACAGTAGATTATTATCTTTACATAGGAAAAAGCTATTGACCAAAAGTCTTTAAAAATGATGATGAAAAGTAGGGACAAAAATATAAAAGGAAAAGGAAAGCTTCCAATTCTTTGAGAAGCAGAAAAATAAAACTTTTCAAGTGTAAAGTGCTGTTTAGAGTATCTGACATATATAAAGTGCTTAAAAATAAATTTTTAGTCAAAATTATTTCAGGCTGGGTTTACTTTTCTTTCCTTTAGCTCCAAGTAAATTACCTTTGATATTTGTTCACCATAGTAAAAAAAAGTAAGAAAATGAATGTTTGAACGTGTCCTTTAGTAGCATGTCGTAATGATGTGGGATATTGATCAAATGAAGCCTTTAAGTGCTACTGTGGTTCTTTCTTTATTCACTCCGAGCTTTTACCGTTCTACGGCATCATCAGGGAGGCAAACTGATGACCCTCATCCTCCCTGATGATGCCGTAGAACGGCGAAAGCTCAGAGTGAATAAAGAAAGAAAGAAAGAACCACAGTAGCACTTAAAGGCTTCATTTGATCAATATCCCATGTAAGAAAATGAGTTTGAAGTTGTTTTGACCAGAAATTATTTAACCTTTATACTTCTTGGGGAAATCAAATAAAATTTGTCTGTACAATGTGAATTAATTGTGGTGAAGAAAAGTGGTGAAGAGAAAATGAAACATCTACTTGATAATATTGTTTGCTTTGACATTACATTCTTAAACTAAGATGGAGAGAATTTTTTGGCAGACAGATTGGTGTGGAAACTGCAACACATATCCAATAAAAGACAATTTCAAATTCTCAACTCAGTAAATTTGTTCCAGGGACAAATCTTTAAGGCCAGAAACAGTGCCTCTAAAGAAAGAGTGTGACCAGTTCAATAGGTATTGGTCTGGATCATAGGTAGAGATGAATGACCCAAATGAGCTATAATGCAACAGCACTTTTTTTTTTACTTTCATCAAGAGGAGAAACATCTCACAAGATAATGAAAGAAAAGTTTGATGGATAGTTCTATCTAGAGCACACTTTTTGTGGCATTGAAGGTGCTCCATGATTGTTCATTCCACTGTTCAAATACCACCATTACATGATCAACATTTAAACATCTTTACTTTTACACATTGATGTATTGATTTTAAAATTGATGTGATCCTCTTACATCACCAGTTGTAAGGCCAAACATAACACATACCCAACCAAGCTGCCAACAACGACTGTCATAATCTGCTTCCACAAAGAACGATTGTCTGTGCTGCTCCGCACCATACACAGTGTCATTAACAGGACGCCACCTGATCTGCTCAGTGGAATTATTGTTGTTGATGACTTCAGTGAGGATGGTAAGTAGCATAAGAAATAGTTTGGACATGTGCATTTCTTTTTAGCAGGACTTAACTCTTAACTCTCTCAAGATCTGATTGTTAAATCTCCCCTCCAGCAGTTATACATTTCCTTTTGAATTAGTTACAAGAATTTGGTGTTAGATCATGATAAAAACTTCTGCCTAATGAGTTTGAGTTTTCTTATTACTACCTTGCTGGATGAAGTATGGATGTTATAAGGAGAAGTTACATGTTAATCACTTCTGGGAGTCAAGGGGTGAACTAAATACATTGTGGTGTAACTTCCCTGTCCACCTGCCATAGGAAGTTTCAACTGAAATTCTTCATTGTCACATGATGCCTTGGTGGTTAGTACCCAGGCTCCAGTCCTGGTGAGCTCTTTGTGTAGTGTGAAACGGGAGATGGGCGCTTGGAAGGCCAAATTAATTCTCTTGCGCATGCCCTACGTTTGAGCGTTGTGTTACAACAGTGTGTAATAGCGGAAAACCAATGTAATCTTTGACTTTGATTACTTTCGACTCTCAACTGAAAATGCTCTTTGACTATCATTCCATTCCGGGAAATTATTAACACTTCCAGGTGCCTCACGTCACAGAAGCTGAGATAAGCTTCGATAGTAAACCTGAAACCTTTTCCTGTCGCTTTCCTCGTTACGAGAAAGATGTTTAGGGTTCACATTTTTTTGCTCCTCGTAGAGAGACTTGGTAAACCACTGGATGACCATGTTGCAACAATGAGCAAAGTGACCGTGCTACGGAACGATAAACGGGAGGGGCTTGTTCGCGCACGCTTGAAAGGTGCCTACGCGGCCAAAGGTGAAGTTCTCACGTTCCTTGATTCGCACTGCGAGGCGACCCCAGGCTGGGCAGAGCCTCTTTTGGCGCGAATTGCAGATTCACGCTCCAATGTTGTGTGCCCCGCTATCGAAGTCCTGAATGCCGACACATTTGCGTACCAAGGCTCTGCAAACGCTGATCAGAGAGGAGGATTCGGTTGGGATTTGTTCTTTAAATGGAAAGGAATTCCCCCGGAAGAACAGAAACTACGAAAAGATAGTTCAGATCCTATCAGGTAACGAGATAAAAATGTTAAGAGAGAGAGCAAAATTATTCTTAAAAGTTATCATATTATTCAAAAGGGATTAAAGATGTGGACAGACTTTTTAGCAAAGCTGCAGGTTGATCATGATCTTAAAGTGAAATAAATAGAACGGCAAAGCAATACAGAGTGAATAGATAAAAAGACTGCTGGAAGCTTGATACATTGCGTAAGAGGTTTGAAACTCTAAGCGAGATTTAAAACCATGCTAGTATGCAGTGATAGTTATTGCTTTAGTCCACTATCGCTGCATATTGAGAATATTTGGAAAAAGCAACAATCATAGAAAAAAATATTTCATCTTGAGCTAACATGTTGTCCTTATGTCTGTCTCATACTCAGGACCCCCACGATGGCAGGTGGTTTGTTCTCCATCCACAGACAGTACTTCTTTGATCTTGGGTCGTATGACGAAGAGATGGACATCTGGGGAGGAGAAAATCTCGAGCTTTCCTTCAGGGTGAGACTTATTTACTAGCGCAGCTCTAAGTTCATTATTCTGAAAGCTTTTGATTGGCCTTTTTAGAGCATTTTTTTGATTGAGTGTCTTAAGACCAAAACCTAATTAATCACAATCAGAAGAAAGGAAAATACTTTGAACTCTTTAACTCTCAACATCTTATAGTTAATTCTCCCCACTAGCTGCTACACATTTGCTTGTAAATTAGTTACGAGAATTTGGTGTCACATCATGAAAACAACATCTACCTGATGAGTTTGAGTATCCTCATTACTGCTTTGCTGGATAGTGGATGGATATTAGAAAGAGAAGTTAGATTTCAATCACTTCTGGGAGTTCAAGGGTTAAGAGTCATGTGAGGTACATTTATTAAAATACTCAGATTTAAGATTTGGGGATTACTTTACAGATATGGATGTGTGGTGGTCGGCTGGAGATCGTACCTTGTTCTCGCGTTGGTCACGTGTTCCGTAAGTACACCAGCCCGTACAAATTCCCGGATGGAGTGGAGAAGACTCTCAACAAGAACTTCAATCGACTGGCAGAAGTCTGGATGGACGAGTACAAGGAACTTTACTATAACAAGAAGCCACAGGCGAGGAACATGGAGTATGGAGACATCAGTAAGCGCCTGGAGTTGAGGAAGAGATTAGGGTGCAAAAGCTTTAAGTGGTACATAGAAAACGTGTACCCTGATGTCCAGATGCCTGAGTTAAATCCGCCAGCCAGTGGCGAGGTAAGGGATGTTTGATGAGACGAAGTTGCATTACCGCACGATCTAAGCTCGAAGGAGCGACGAGAGTTGGTTCTCCAGAACTGGTTGCTAGGTTACTGCAGGTAACCCTCCCCTCTCAAAACCTCCCTTCGCTCCCCTCCACATCAAACAAATTTTGATATTTCTAATTGTTCTTACGAACCCATTCACACTCTGAGCTGGGGAAAGGCTTTGTGTGAGTAGAGAAGTTTTTTGTCTAAAAACTCAAAAAAACGGCCCAACCAGTTCTGTGACTCAGAATTCCCGTCCTAGATTCCGGCGCTCTATCCAGCGAGTCACTGCGTCACCGCAGGAGCAATGAAGGAGCCCCCTAAAATGAGTGACCTCAGGAACCTATCTGACAAAATTCCTGGGTTATTTCTTTTTATTTTTCGTTTTTATTACTTTTTTTTTTACATCGTGATTATCCCTAAAGTTCCTGTTTCAAGAGTATTTTATTCCTGCTGATATAAAAGGTGTCTTTACCTCTTATAGGTTCGAAACCCGCCAAGTGGATACTGTTTGGACTCGCTTGGAGCCAAACCCGAACACTCAGCTCGAATGGGAGCTTATGTTTGCCATGGGCAGGGTGGAAATCAGGTTTGTAGCAGAATGATATAAGAACTTTCGATGTTACCATGGTACAGGTATTGTACTAACAGGAACAGGAGTGTTGATTATATATGAAATAGGAAAATTGGCGTTTTATCTATAACACTATCAGCGTTGATTGAAGAGAATGCAAAAACCAGTCCTCATCGTGAAACAGCTTTAAAGTAACTACTTTACGAGAAATTTGAACAACTTCTGCATTCTGTGAAATTTTAAAAACAACTTTGGCAGTTTTCTCAATTCATGCATCTTGATACATTGTTGTACACAGAACCAGAAGTTTTTTTAAGGCTACTTACTTCTTTTGGAAAACTTTTGAATGACTTTCGAGAGAAAACTTTTTTGCCCCTTGACGCAACGTACGATCATAATATTTCTTTTTCGTATCAAGGAATTCGGACAAAAATTCTCTTATTTCACTGTCATCATGAAAAAATCAAAATAAAGACTTTCAGGGTTCTCTGACATGTCATATCAATACAAACCAATTTGATTTGTAGGCATGTACCTCCAATCTCTTCAAAACTCTCAAGCGACAATAAGATCTGAGCCTCTCGAATCTTTCCATCGACCGAAAAATCACATAACCTTGCCATAAGGACCCCACAAATTCGCCCCCAAGTTCTCTCCTACGCTAAAGATCGACAGTGAGCTGGAAGTAGTGAGACTGTGGGTACCAGTCTCACTATTTGGAACATCAATTTGCAACGATTGTTGTGGTTTTATTTTATAATCTTCCTGTCTAGATGCTGGTAATGTCGTCAAAAGGCGAGATAATCTTTGAGGAAGAGAACTGTCTTGACGTGTCGAAGTCTTATGCTGGGGCTCCTGTGGAGATCTTGAAATGTCACGGGATGGGCGGCAATCAGAAATGGGAACACGACAAAAAAAGCGTAAGTTTGTATAGAGAGTTCTTTTACTTCTTTTGAATAATTAAAACAAGGATTCAGGGGTATTACCGAGCATTTCGCTCCGTATTTCTTGGACGTTGAAAAACATCCACGGGTTGGAATCTGGTAACTCAAGGCCTCATACCTTCTCGCGGGTGAAGAAACGCCGCGCCGAAGGCTAACATTGAGGACTAGCTTGCCGGCTAGACTTGCATTCCATCAAATAATCAAAGCCTTGAAGATAGCTTAATGCGTCAACCAAAACTGGCAGGAATTGCTTTGTGTTTGTGTCTATGTTTTGTTCCTCGACGTCCACATCCTTTAAACAGGAATGTGATTTCTCGTGGTTACATCCCTTGCCACTGGGAAGAATTGATAGAAAAAGACAAAGGCATGTTGTTTCTTTTGGCACGTCAAGTCATAATCATGGTCTTAAATATCTTTGCGGTAGGACACACTAATACAAAGTGTCTGTAAAGGGAGTCCCGAGAAGGGCTGAAATTTGATGTCATCTTCTCTCGATTTTCTTCATAATAGGGAATTATCAAACACATCAGTACGGGTCAATGCTTAGATCGTGGGTCCAGCGGAGAACAGTACGTAGTTATGAATCCTTGCGACGGACGCGATTCACAGAGATGGGTCTTCTCCAAGTACAAAGATACATAACACCACCTGAATGTTCCCGCTTTGGAACAAGTTGAATATATCAGTTATCACAAGAGATCAAGCTGAGAGACTCTATTCCCTTTGTGGGCCGTGCTCCTTAGGTAATCTCTGTTAAGTTATTTTTAGATAACTCCCGTTTTTGCAGATCCCGGAAGGATCTAGAAACAGTCAGTCTAGTGTCGCCAATTTTGCTCTGGTGCATATCCCCTGCACAGTCTGTTTGTTCTTCACTAAATCATTCAAAGAAAACGCAAGATACTTGTCATGTTACACGCAAGAAACATGCGAGGTACTTGTGATATTGTTACCAGGAACCTTGAGTCTAAAACTACTATAAACGTTCTATTAAGCTACGGGGGTGGGGGGAGGATATAATGCCAGGCATTTTCTCTCACCCAGATTTAATGACTTCCGTATAGGGCATGTATGTCTGGTCAAAACGCTACGATATTTTAAACGGAAAGCAGACTCCAAAAGACGTATATTTTCGTGCGCAATGCCAAAACAAATGACCATAAAACTACTGTTTTAGAACTTGAGGGAAGGAGGAGACGGGAGCGTACAAGAAAATGATAAGCCAGGACGGGGTTTCTAATAGATGGGGGAAAGGGGCTCATATGAAAGAGGGGCTTATTCGAGAAGGGGGGGAGGATTGTAGACAGAGAAAGTAAAAGGGGGGGGGGGGGGGTAATAGAGCTTTGTTGCATGGAGATAGAATGTTAATAAATTGGGGGTTCAATTCTTAGGGGGGGTTGATAGAGAGGGAGGTTTGATAGATAGTAGGGCACAGTTGGGGGGGGAGGGCGTCTAATAGAGAGAAGAGTTCAAAAGGAAGGGGGCTTGTTCAATCCTTTATAGTAACTTGAGATGGATTACGATATTTGCGAGTTATACGCAAAGAATTTATATTGCGCGCGCTTAGAGTAAAGAAAATATTATAAACGTATACATTAGAAATTTTTTCAGCTTTGCCAGTGATATAGTGTGTGATACACTCAAGTGATCTGCTCAGTTCTTAGTAGGTTATTACGAAGTAGTAGAACATAGCAGTATTGACCATTTTTGAAAAGCTTTTACATTTTTCGATAAATTCAGAGTAGCTTTCGACAAAGATTGACTGTAAATGACGTTGCTGACTAAAACGAATTTCTTGGAATCCCTAATCTATAATCGATAGCTGTTATCAGATAGTATGTTTTCACTACAGCTGTCAGAAATTGAATGTTTTGTTAAAGATTTTGGTAAATATTTGACTGCAAAGCTTTGCTACCGTGCGATAGTAATTTAGGGTAAACTGATACCTCTAGGTAGATTCTAATCTTTCAAAGTCTTTGCAACTCCACTTTTGTTTTCCCTTTGTGTTTTTAATTTGTTAACTAAACGTTGCTATGAAGCGCTTTTCGATTGATTCAAGAAAAACCAAAGCCACCCTAGTCACCGTAGCCGTCAGAACACAGGCTTGGGGACTGGTACAAAGCCAATGCAATCCCAGGTTTCTTTCGATGCTCACTCGAAAATTGCTCCAATGCATGTGAAATCTGTTTTCAACAGTGTTTATCTCCCCTGTAAGTTTAACTCATTTATTCTCGTTCACTAGTAAGCTGCAAAGCTAATGATTGTGTGGTGATTGACGCCGCAACTTACCTTTGGTGAGAGTGTAAGAAAATTTACCTTCTCCTACCGCGCGGGAAAAAGTAGCGAGTGCGGTAACATGTCCCTAAGCTAGTTTCATTTGAATTATGATTGGCCGAGGCCAAAGTCTCTGATTTATCTAATGCATCTGGTAAAAAAAACCAACTGAGTATATACAAAATTAAATATGGGGATTTTTTACACTTTTGCATCTGGCGAAAACCCAATATCAAAATCTTAGATACCGTAAGGCTGTATTCAATTGCGAGTGTGAGGGAGTGCGAGAAGTGACTGTTTTCCACAAAATACTCGGACAAATTGAATGGAAATTTAAACTATCCATATGTGCGTCACGCACCATTTTATGATAGTTGTAGGTTAAATAGAATGAGATGTTCAACGTTTCGATCACATTATCCAGGATTGAGAGCAGATGCGAACTTTACAAAATTTGGTAATTTGCACTATTTTTCAGCAATTTAGAACCCTCTCTTGAATCATTTGCATTTCATCGTCCATTTTCGTAAGTAGACGCGCAAATTTGTGATTGATGCAGTTTTGGCAATTTTAGTGATATTTTGAAATTTCGATCGTTTCGTTTCTGGCCCTCCTCGGATCATATCTTTGTTTCCTAATTGTTTTGAAATGATTTTCATGTAATTTTATGCTACATATATTTTTATGAAGTAATGCTATCAAGTGATTCACCTAAATAAAGTATTGATTTTGGATAAAAAATGTATTTCAACTGGTGAGTCTTACATTTGTATCGATACTGGTGAGGGTACGAGTGTAATTTTGACTTCGAGCGATAATGATGTTATCAAGTGATTCACCTAAAGGAAATATTACTGAGTCACATTTTTAGTTAAAAACATGTATTTCAACATGCGAGTCTTACATTTGTATTGGTACTGACGTGAATGCGAGAGTAGTTTGTACCCCGCGCGTTATCCCAAAATTCTGCCTAAGAGCGAGAAAGAAGCGTAACTGGTCCTGGGCTGTGACAGTTAACCCTGTCCACCCTAACATCAGTATGCATATTCTCTATACAGTTCTTTATACATTTCCTAAGGTGCTGACAAGGAGAATTTGTTTCAAATTCAAGAGCTTTTTTAGTTGGTGATTATTTCCTATATTCTCGAGACCTCAATGTCTGATTCAGAGGTGATATTGTGAGGAGAAATTAGATGCAAGTCACTCTTAGGGTGCTAAGGGTTAAAGGGAAGATTGGAATCGCGTGAGTTATAAATTTCTCTTCATGTAATTACTACAAACAATTTGAATTTGATCTGTCACCTTCCAAATACTGAAGATAGACTGATACAATATGATCTCCGATACTGCCTACTATTCTTTACTTCTTCATTGTTTTCAAGCTTTTTTCCTTGACTTTACTGCACTTGAAATTGTCTCAAAGTTGTGAACGTCAATTTCGCAACGCTTTAAAATATTTAACTAAAATTCTAATGGTCTGTCATGGATTGTTCGAAGTTTGGATAACGTTATTACTGGATAAATCTCTATCCAGTGGATAGCGCAGTACGTTATGTTAGCAGTTATCCGCTGAATAGCGATTTACCCTTTGGATAGCGTTACCCACCCTTTGAATAACTGGGCTCTGAACGGCACACAACCAGGGAGACTAAGAAAGTTAGAACCTGGACTGTAAGGATACATGATAGAAACTGATTTAAAAACTAGAGATAACACCACTCCAACTGTATCTTAGTTCTAAAAAAAAATACTTTTTTTGACCGGCGAAGGCACAATTGAATTAATAAATGTAATTAACAAAAAAAGAATTTAAAAACATCCTAAAATTGAAATATCCCTTGTTATAACACGTCAGAATGACTACTTTTACTTCTGTCCTCTTCTGGGTAAGCTGAGAACCTCCACTTCTGTGTTTGCCGGTTGTCACATTTCCGTACGACCAGGCCATCCCCTTCAATATCTAAGCAAACGTCGTGTAGTACGTGACGAATTTTCCCATCCTGCCGGAGAAGACACATGACAGAAAAATAAGTTTCACTCTCTAGACGACGCCCGAAAATGAGCCAGATTTTTCGCCGTAATTGCCGTGAAATAATATACAGTTTTGGGGCAAAATCCTTTGAGTAAATACCACTCATTTTCAAACAATTTTTTTAATGCCGCCAACTTGGACTAGAAAAGATAAATAAAAATTAACCTTTCAACCAATAACAGTAAAATTATGACATTATTTCCATGAGCTCTATCTTTAATGTCTCAACCAAAAAGAATTCGCTAGTTCTAGTCTCCCCCGTGGAGGTGCGCATGGTCAGAAGTCAGTCAAGCTCAGTCATCTCTACGGTGCAATTAATTTTACTCTCCCATACCAAAGCAGCCTAAGACATTGTTCTCGGCCATCACTAGAAACAGTGACTCACCCGATCATGTTCCCACTTTTGGTTTCCACCAAGTCTGTGACAATTGTATAGCTTAACTTTGGTGTTGGAGTCACCATTTACCAGATCCAAGCACAGATCATCATGCCAAAACTCATTCTTCTTCGTGTACATGAAAAACTGAAAAAAATGGTGGCTCATTATTGGTAACAGGTATTTAAATCTGAACCTAGTATATGGCCGACAGCTCGCTAAGGATAAGTTGAGATGCTTGGGACTGCGATCGCTCAAAAATCGTTAGCAATTAACGTCAACTAGGGTTGATATAATGACAATGAAAATTTTAAAAAGTTGACCGCAAAATGTAGGGGAATCCGTTTCTTTTGGCAGAACATCGCTTGTATGCCTTAATTGGAGGATGTCAAGTGGTAATTACTTGTAAGGCGCCCAAGAATACTGAGGCGCTTGACTCTTCGCTTGCTCGCGTCTTTTCAGATGGCTTATACGAACTTACCTAAGCCCCGGTTTGGCGGGGCAATGAATAGTATCCGCTGCACGCAGTTTATTTTTGTGTGTGCGTGCGCCTTGAAGCGTCGAGCGAAGAAGCCACGAAGGTTTTGGGACGGATAATAGTAATTGAATAACCACTTGAGGCTTCGCCTCTCATCGCATTGAAGCGCACAGAGAACCAAAAGGTACGCAAGCTAGCAGGAGATTCGTCAGTGATCTATTAATACCCGTATGTACATGCCTACCTGGTTATTTCCCATGCCATGGCACATGTACATGCCGGGTTCGCCGCCTGGCTCATTTTTCGCTAACGTATCTAAGCACTGGTCAGTACCAAGATTACGGACCTACGAGTCAATACAAGTCAGAGTTAAAAAGAGAGTAAAAAAAAACGTGGTGGCTGAAAAAAAAGTGCCAGGCTAAGGCTAAGGAGGCTAAGGCCAGTCTGGCCAATTACAAAATAAAAAAAATCGTTTTCTGCGATTATGGAAACAAAATATCGACAAGCAAACGAGTATCCAAACAAAGAAATGTTTAGCAGGTAAATTAGTGTTAACAACTGAGTTGACAACGTAAATTAGCCACCGTAAAGGGTAAAAAAGCTGACGTTTCGAGCGTTAGCCCCTTGTCAGAATCGTGAGACGCTCGAAACGTTAGCTGTTTTACTCTTTATGGTGGTCAAGTTATGTTTTCAATTCAGTTATTAACACTAAATTACCTGCTATACTCTCCCACCGACGCAGCACCACAGTTTCTTTAGAAACTTACCCCTTTATTCAAAGAAATGCTTAGGATGCGCTCTTACCTCCCCTCTACCGTGCGGGTACATATCCGGGATGTCCAATTCTGGGATCACGTTCTGCAAATACCACTTAAAGTTCTTACATTTAAGTTTCTCTCTAAGGGCCTTTCTTTCAGACACGTCTCCATAAGATCTGTCCTTGAGCTGCGGCCTCATAGCGTAAAAAATTTGTTTGTATTCATCCATCCAGACCTCAGCCAATCTCATGTTATTCTTGTCAATTGCTCCTTCTCCAATCTTGTATGGCTGACTCTCTCTGAACACGTGACCGACCTTGGAGCACGGGAGAATTTCCAGAGATCCTCCGC